GTAGAATTGTGGTCAATTGCATGTCAAGTAATCGCATTCGTACTCCCAGTGTCGATTTGTGCGACCTGGGAATCGTCGATGTCTATCGTCCGACAGCTTTAATAAAATCGTCTTATCTCGCGGTTTCTTCGTGGATTGTCATTCGTTCGTGCTCAAACTTCCTAGAAAATAAAGGAGAAACGATCGTAAATGTTTTTAGTAAGCTGCAAAGCGCGAATAACTAAAACCTTTCGTGCACGAAATATCTCGAGCATGTATCCACCGTATTTTCAATAATACTTCGTATGGCGTTAACCATGGCATGTCAAACTATAAACATAAATAGGAGTGATTCTTCAAACAAAAGTGAGTTTTTTTTTATTTATTTTCATGATCGAAGCGTACAATTCTTTGATTCTCGTTAATAGTTCCATTGTCTTGTAAATAGAATCAATACATTTTATTCTCGTATCATTATGACATATACTTATTAATTTATAATGTTGTTATAAAATTTGACAATATCTCTTACTCATAACTCTTGTGATAATACAACAGTGTTTTACAAAATTAAGTATATGCTAATCATTTTGAAGGGTTGCAAAACTTGAGAAACATTAGCACGAATCGACTGTATCGTTCATGCTAATTACTTTTAAGGGTTACAAAACTTGAGAAACATTAGCACGAATCGACTGTATCATTCATGCTAATCATTTTGAAGGGTTGCAAAACTTGAGAAACATTAGCAAGAATCGACTGTATCGTTCATGCTAATCATTTTGAAGGGTTGCAAAACTTGAGAAATATTAGCACGAATCGACTGTATCGTTCATGCTAATCACTTTTAAGGGTTACAAAACTTGAGAAACATTAGCAAGAATTGACTGTATCGTTCATACTAATCATTTTTAAGGGTTACAGAACTTGAAAAACATTAGTACGAATTGACTATATCATTCATATTAATTACTTTTAAGGGTTACAAAACTTGAGAAAAATTAGCACGAATCGACTGTATCATTCATGCTAATCATTTTGAAGGGTTGCAAAACTTGAGAAACATTAGCACGAATCGACTGTATCATTCATGCTAATCATTTTGAAGGGTTGCAAAACTTGAGAAACATTAGCACGAATCGACTGTATCGTTCATACTAATCATTTTTAAGGGTTACAGAACGTGAAAAACATTAGTACGAATTGACTATATCATTCATGCTAATTATTTTTAAGGGTTAAAAAATTTGAGAAACATTAGCACGAATCGACTGTATCATTCATGCTAATTACTTTTAAGGGTTACAAAACTTGAGAAAAATTAGCACGAATCGACTGTATCATTCATGCTAATCATTTTGAAGGGTTACAGAACTTGAGAAACATTAGCACGAATCGACTGTATCATTCATACTAATTACTTTTAAGGGTTACAAAACTTGAGAAAAATTAGCACGAATCGACTGTATCATTCATGCTAATCATTTTGAAGGGTTGCAAAACTTGAGAAAAATTAGCACGAATCGACTGTATCATTCATGCTAATCATTTTGAAGGGTTGCAAAACTTGAGAAACATTAGCACGAATCGACTGTATCGTTCATGCTAATTACTTTTAAGGGTTACAAAACTTGAGAAACATTAGCACGAATCGACTGTATCGTTCATACTAATCATTTTTAAGGGTTACAGAACTTGAAAAACATTAGTACGAATTGACTATATCATTCATGCTAATTATTTTTAAGGGTTAAAAAATTTGAGAAACATTAGCAAGAATCGACTGTATCGTTCATGCTAATCATTTTTAAGGGTTACAGAACTTGAAAAACATTAGTACGAATTGACTATATCATTCATGCTAATTATTTTTAAGGGTTAAAAAATTTGAGAAACATTAGCAAGAATCGACTGTATCGTTCATGCTAATCATTTTAAAGGGTTACAGAACTTGAGAAACATTAGCAAAAATCGACTGTATTCTTAACTACATTATTTAGAACCATTTTTCATTGTCATTTGTCGTGTCAATATTTACAAAACCTCAAATTAAACGGAAATAGTAGTCTACGAAGAAACCAGGAAATTTTTGTAACTCACAAAAAAAAATTATTCCTCAATTTCAATTTACACGAAGAATCGCTCTATAGAAAGTTTACACCATGGTTGCCGCCGCACCCTATATACGCTCGCATTAAGTTGCCTAGTGCCAACCCGCAGATCGCAAAAACTTAAATAGCGTACTCAGAGAAAATTTCTTCTATAGCTACCATGCATGCTATACTGCTCGAAATGATGAGAAATTCTCGCATACGGAGAGTGGCTTTGTTATTAAATTATGGTTAGCTCGGATGATCATCTAGAAAATGTCCATTCAAGCACAACGGTTAGCATTAGTGACCACTTGCTTCAACAATTAATCTCACTAGCGCCACTTTGCAAAAGTATCACATTGTCGCGGTGGTTATCCATGATGATTATTCTTTTTCTTAATTCTATAAATATCTACTTGGGGGAATAAGATCTTAAAACTATTCACATTCCTTTTTGCAGCAAGTTAATTGACGTGAAGCTTGTTCTAATTACTTTGAACAACGTAATACGTAAAACGGTATTATTTTATAACCTTACTTTGAGCGGCACGAAAAGTATAGAACAAATGACTCTCCACTGTGAAATTAACTATAGTTGCTAAAAGCTATTTAGCAAATCAATTTTTAGTAACTGTAGCAAAAGTTTTCTCTGAGTCCGTATCCCTTAACGCGTACATCGCATGGTCAATATTGACGACATGCCAAGGCACCGCATGAGTATATTCAATTTGTAACTGGTACGAGCAAAGGGGAATGGAAATCTTACGAACCATCCGTTCGAAAGAGGTTATACTATACGCGTGTACAGCGAGCGACAAAATTATTGGCACAGGCAAAAATTTGATAATAATACGCGAAAGAACAGGACGATAAACGTGCTTCAATCTTTTTTTTTTAATAAGAAATAGATATTTTATTGTATCGTTATCAATAAAATGTAAACGTTCTTAATTCAAATGTTGGCGCCTTATTCATAGCTCAATCTTAAAGTCAAGGTTAAGGTTAGGTTAGTTTTGCAGACAGAACGATAAATATATAACAATAAAGAACAGGACGATAAATGTGCTTCAACCTTTTTTTTTTTAATAAGAAATAGATATTTTATTCTATCGTTACCAATAAAATGTAAACATTCTTAACACTTTACCGACCGATAGCCTATTAATCGACTGTTTTACCGGCCAACGCTTACCGACCGATAGGCTATTAATCGACTGTTTTACCGGTCGGTAAGTGTTGGTCGGTAAAACAGTCGATTAATAGGCTATCGGTCGGTAAAGTGTTAATTCAAATGTTGGCGCCTTATGCGTAGCTTAATCTTAAAGTCAAGATTGAGGTTAGGTTTGTTGCGCGTCGACCATGCAACAACAGTGCATCTCAGAAGCAGAAAGACTCAAAAACCATAAAATAAAATGGTGAAACTATGTCTTGAAATTACGAAAAACACAAACTGTAATAATTCCTTGCTAATATTTACATCACAAATTTATATAGGCTTCGTGTAAGCTTATAATTTCTTGGTTATCCTTTTTGCTTTGTCGCTTCTGCGAATCTTTATGGCATCGATTGTATTATTTTCTGTTTAAATCTACTATAAATTATGTTACATTGTCTTGAATAGTAAACTGGTTTGTTTTAACTCTTTGCTGCACAGGATTTCAGATAATAAAATAGACCCATGTTGCATAGAAATTTTATTGCGTTTTAAATTAAACAAAATTGGTATATTTTTATTAATAAAGCTATCACATAATGTAAAGACATAAAAAAACATGAAAAAAGATTGTCGCAATAAACCTTCCGCTTGCAACAATTGATGAACCTGTATTGGCACGTTGAATGTTGCCAACACAAGTGAATACATTTGTAACATTTGTTGAAGATATTACCAACTGCTTTACGTAAATAAGACGAAATGTAAACCTATGCGCATGCAGCTATTGGAATATTTTGAGGTGGGACTAAAAATGTGCCACCAAGCGTTACGGTGCATCAAAAAGATAGAACACTTTTAATCCCAGCATGCCCCAAAGAGTTAAAAGCCTTACAGCGTTGTCTATTTTCTTGTGGAAATTGTTTTGAAATAGAATAGTGAGTCTGGTAATTGAAGAAGAATACATAGAATTTTTGACGCAGTTATGCAACAACCATTCTTATACAGTAGAATCTCCATTATCCGTACTAATAGGGAGACAAGACTCAAACAAAAACTACTCATAGAAATGAAATGGAAAATTTATTTTTCTATCTTCATTATATCATTTTATCACCAAAACAAAAATATTTTCTTAATACCACATGTTATTAACGTCGATCCAAATTTGTTTTACAGTAATGTATTCACAATTTATTTTAATAGGACGTAATTTTAGATTGCACACCAAGATATAGGCAAGTTTATAAATAAATGTACATGATATTTTATGCATAATGTTATAAAATACGTAAAACGGTATTATTATATAACCTTGTTTTCAAACTCTAGACTTATTTAAACTTTAAGGTTAAGAAACTATACAGTAAATTTGCATTTCAAGGTTGTTTTTGTAAAATGCATTACGCGTGGCAGAAATTTAAGAAATTACTATAATTCGTTCTTTCGTAATTGCGAAACGTGTCCCCGATGTTTTGTCAGCCTTCAAACCGCCTATTTCTTAGCAGAGAAATATAATTTTTTTTTTTTATTGTTTTATTTTTCGCGGTTCGATCGAATAGTTGCTTGTGCCGATAATTTTGTGACCAGCTGTAAGAGAAAACAGTCTTTGGGTGCGTGAGACTGCTGCCTGAAAAACATTTAGAACCCAAAATTTTTCAATATTCGCCACCGCTCGCTGCTCTGCTAGAAAACCTGCGATGCGCGAATGACAAAAAAACATTGTACATATAGGTAAGGCCGGTCGGCTGAGTGACATCATTGTTATCATTTAGTACGTTTGTTCTTGTCGCTGAACCCCGCAGACGAGCGCCCCGAGGTCCCTGAGGCCCAGAGGACCCGGGCCACGGACCAAGGTGAGTCCCTAGTTCTGCACATCAACAGCACTGTCACGTTACTTCTATGAATCTCTTTTTTTTTTTCAATTCTTCCTCTACTATCGTTGCTGTTCGGTTGCTACAATGGATTCTGACGGATTTCTAAGTGCACAGCCAATACATGTTGACGTTTGGATGACCAGCCACCGAAGCGTTTCACCGCTGATAACGGTCAATTTTCAAAAAATTCACTCTGATCACTTTCTATTTTAAAATCGAAAAATTCGTACGAAATTTATATAAAAAATTATTCGTGTTGCAATTAAGAACGACCTAACCTTCCTTGATTTTAACATGCTTTTGCAGAATGATATCTTCGGTCGGGATGCATAGAACAGATGGTAAATTCTCGTTTTTTATATGCAAGTAATTGAAATAGAGACTTCTACCGGTACGTAAGATATCTGACGTACCGATTTGCTTACCTACATTTACCGATAAATGGTTTGGTTTCTCTATTTCATTACAATTCTCAAGATTTGTTTTAAGCAGAGACCTATCGTAATTATGTTATCAGTTCCTAATACCAAAATTGTTGTAATACGTATTTAAATATTCTGAAACATAATTTATTAAAAAGTGCAACAAAAATCAGAATTCAAACTTACATTCAAATATTACCCCAAGGCAATGATCTCAAACATAAAGTATGAATTGTGCAAGAATACCACCCTAAAAAAAAAATTAGTCCCTAGATCTACATCCTACGGAGAATCTGTGAAATGAACTGGAATGGAGAATTAGAAAAACTTCAATATTGTCAAAAGTATACTTAAGATAAAGATTAAAAGAAGAATGGGGCAATATATATGCAGATTATTTAAAAAAAATAATAATTGGATACCTGCCTCAACGCTTTAAAGAAGGACATCTTACGAAACATTAAATAAGTTTGACATTTTGTGTAAAGTTATTAGTGAATATTAAGTTAATTCACTGTATATTAACTTGCTGTCGAAGTCACCGTGGCATAAATTTAAAATGGAGTAATTATGTAGGGTGTTCGGCCACCCCTGGGAAAAATTTTAATGGGAGATTCTAGAGGCCAAAATAAGACGAAAATTAAGGATACTAATTTGTTGATGGAGGTATCGTTAAAAAGTTATTAATGTTTAAAGTTCCGCTGGCACTGAATTTTTTTCTAGAAAGTGGGTAGGATTTTGGGGGTAGGTATATTCACTAAAAATTATTGTAATTGATCCCTGTAAACGAAAATAATTTTTCCAGAACGATTTGAAATTTGTTAATTTTGTCGAATAATTTCATACCTTCTCGATTTTTTTTCTCAAAAATGGGTAGAATTTCTGGGGTGTCTCTAATGACCAAAAATGATTGTAATTGAGCCCCGCAACCGAAAGTAATTTTTCCAGAACGATTTGAAATTTTTTAATTTTGTCGAAAAATTTCATACCTTCTCGATTTTTTTTCTCAAAAGTGGGTAGAATTTCGGGGGTGTCTCTAATGACCAAAAATGATTGTAATTGAGCCCCGCAACCGAAAGTAATTTTTCCGGAACGATTTGAAATTTTTTAATTTTGTCGAAAAATTTCATACCTTTTCGATTTTTTTTCTCAAAAATGGGTAGAATTTCGGGGGTATCTCTAATGACCAAAAATGATTGTAATTGACCCTTGTAACTAAATATATTTTTTTAAGTACAATTTGAAATTTTTTAATTTTGTCGGAAAATTTCATACTTTCTCGATTTTTTTTCTCGAAATTGGGTAGGATTTCGGGGGTATTTCTAATGACCAAAAATGATTGTAATTGAGCCCCGCAACCGGAAGTAATTTTTCCAGAACGATTTGAAATTTTTCAATTTTGTCGAAAAATTTCGTAACTTTTCGAATTTTTTTCTCGAAAATGGGTAGAATTTCGGGGGTATCTCTAATGACCAAAAATTATTGTAATTGACCCCTGTAAACGAAAATAATTTTTCCAGAACGATTTGAAATTTTTTAATTTTGTCGAAAAATTTCATACCTTCTCGATTTTTTTTCTCGAAAGTGGGTAGAATTTCGGGGGTGTCTCTAATGACCAAAAATCATTGTAATTGAGCCCCGCAACCGAAAGTAATTTTTCCGGAACGATTTGAAATTTTTTAATTTTGTCGAAAAATTTCATACCTTTTCGATTTTTTTTCTCAAAAATGGGTAGAATTTCGGGGGTATCTCTAATGACCAAAAATGATTGTAATTGACCCTTGTAACTAAATATATTTTTTTAAGTACAATTTGAAATTTTTTAATTTTGTCGGAAAATTTCATACTTTCTCGATTTTTTTTCTCGAAATTGGGTAGGATTTCGGGGGTATTTCTAATGACCAAAAATGATTGTAATTGAGCCCCGCAACCGGAAGTAATTTTTCCAGAACGATTTGAAATTTTTCAATTTTGTCGAAAAATTTCGTAACTTTTCGAATTTTTTTCTCGAAAATGGGTAGAATTTCGGGGGTATCTCTAATGACCAAAAATTATTGTAATTGACCCCTGTAAACGAAAATAATTTTTCCAGAACGATTTGAAATTTTTTAATTTTGTCGAAAAATTTCATACCTTCTCGATTTTTTTTCTCGAAAGTGGGTAGAATTTCGGGGGTGTCTCTAATGACCAAAAATCATTGTAATTGAGCCCCGCAACCGAAAGTAATTTTTCCGGAACGATTTGAAATTTTTTGATTTTGTCGAAAAATTTCATACCTTCTCGATTTTTTTTCTCGAAAATGGATAGAATTTCGGGGGTATCTCTAATGACCAAAAATGATTGTAATTGACCCTTGTAACTAAATATATTTTTTTAAGTACAATTTGAAATTTTTTAATTTTGTCGGAAAATTTCATACATTCTCGATTTTTTTTCTCAAAAATGGGTAGAATTTCTGGGGTATCTCTAATGACCAAAAATCATTGTAATTGAGCCCCGCAACCGAAAGTAATTTTTCCGGAACGATTTGAAATTTTTTGATTTTGTCGAAAAATTTCATACCTTCTCGATTTTTTTTCTCGAAAATGGATAGAATTTCGGGGGTATCTCTAATGACCAAAAATTATTGTAATTGACCCCTGTAAACGAAAATAATTTTTCCAGAACAATTTGAAATTTTTTAATTTTGTCGAAAAATTTCATAACTTTCCGAATTTTTTTCTCGAAAGTGGGTAGGATTTCAGGGGTATGTATATTCACCAAAAATGATTGTAATTGAGCACCGCAGCCAAAAATAATTTTTTCAGTATAATTTGAAATTTTTTAATTTAATTGATATTCTTGATTTTTGTCTTATTTTAGCCTTTGAAATCTTTCATTAAAATTTACCCAGGAGTGGCCGAACACCCTGTATATTAATAACTTCCTTATATACGGTTTATACATTATACAAAATAGAACTTTCTTTTCGCCAATTCACGAAATTGAAAGCAGCAGTCTTATAAACCTTAATATCCGAATATGGTTAGTGTCATTAAAAAGTTATTATCGAAAAATAATTTGCGCCACGACTTCGATGAAACAAACCGATGTTTGCCGTATACATAGTCATATCGTAGCTAATTTTAATTATTCATATATATGCTATACAATTGCAAAGTCTCTTAGTATTTTACACTTGTCTTCTATCATCCTACATAAGCACATCGAAATGTGAGGTTAGATTGGGTCCGTTTGTTCGGTCTAAAGTCATCCTTGCACCTGTTTGGCTCTAACCTATCAACGTTAAAGTCTTTAATGCCTGGTCAATGTGAACATTTGTTTAAACATTTTCCAACGAAAAATCCGCAAGAATCCTTGCAGCAATTCAACAGTAATGATTTATATCGAAAAATCGTAGCTTTATATACTTCATGTATCTCGTATTGTCTGTGTAACGAAAGATTTCAATAATTTCGATCTTTCGAGTCTCTGAAACGTAATTCAGGGTAAATCGAATACCTCATTGCGACTTCCATGTAACGATCGAATCACGTTTGGACGATCAACGTGGCAATGCTACTTTTCGTTAGCACGTGCTCTTGGAACGAGGCAAATTACGCGAACTTTCATGCAATAAGTACCTTTTATAATTTTCCTTAAAGCTGTGCGTCACCACCCGTTTTAATTAGCGTCGTTCGTGTACGATCCTGTATAAAATCCAAACGCCATAAATAAGGCAACAAGGCGACGCACACTGTATTATAATTTATCGTTCGCGAAAAATGCTTTTACTCCTAATTTCACGCATGCGCTGTAAAAATAAACGAAACAGAAATCATAGAAATATAACAACGCGTGTCCGTTTGTGTGTGTGAGCGATCCTGTTGTTTGTCGGGTGGTGACGGTCTTTAGTTTTCCTTCAAAATTCTGTGCGAGAAGGACGAAGGAAACAGAGCACAAGAGTACGATCACCCGTGCGTGTAAATAAGAGTCTCGTTTTACAAATTAACCGCTGCATTAACAAAACTGTACGAAACAACCGCCAGCCTGTACAGACGAACGAAATCTTTTCGCTGCGTACGCTCATTCGTGGGCGAAGGACTTCGAAAAATTTCTACATTTTCCTTGTACATAATCATTAACATTAATCTCGGAATTTTGTATCCGGTGAAAGGGCCGTGTTTGTGTTACCTCGTTTGTCGAACAGTCACGGACCACGAACGTTTGGTAGTGATTCTATTCTCTGTTTTTCACAGTATTGAAAGGGAATCCCGCACCTGTACATTCTCGACCAACGTTCACCGATGATCCAACGGACACTAAAGAAGATAGCGATGGTTAGTATTTTTGTCCATAAGCTGTTAAAAATAATTGAGGTCAGACCATATCGTGTCTAGTACAATTTGTTTATTTCTAATTTCCGTTTATTTGAGAAACAAATATTTAAACTTTTTGAATTGATATATTTTTAAGCACGATATAATCCGTTTAATCTCTTCAGGGACGATTTTTTTTTCTTCTTTTTTTGGGTCTATTTATTATTGACAGTAACTATAATTATAAAAAAAAAACTAAACGTCCACATATGTGGCCAAGGGCGTGAAGAGGTTAATCGATTGAAAGCTATAAATTTAACATATAGTTGGTGTAAAAAGTATTCGTACAGCAGTCAATTTGTTTATTAGAAAAAATACATACATATTCTTAGAAATGTCACGGAGAAATTTTATTAAAAATAAATTGTTTATTTATATTCGCTATGAAAATATTAGCAAAAGGCCTGAATGTAGTCGCAAAAACAGGAGTAATGGCTCGAAATGCTATTCGTACGACTCTAATTTTATAATGTAACGACACCTCCCAGATTCGCCACCAGAGGGACCGTTCTCTCGCAAGCGCTCGACTGACCCTTCCGTTCTTATACAGGATGTTCGACCACCCCTGGGGAAAATTTTAATGGGGGATTCTAGAGGCCAAAATAGGACGAAAATCAAGAATATCAATTTCTTGACTAAGGCTTCATTAAAAAGTTATTAACAATTAAATTCAAAAATTTCAAATCGTTCTGGAAAAATTATTTTCGGTTGCGGAGGTCAATTATAATAATTTTTGGTGAATACACATACTTCCGAAATCCTATCCACTTTCGAGAAAAAAATTCGAGTAGATACTGAAATTTTTTGACAAAATTAAAAAATTTCAAATCACAGTGAAAAAATTATATTTAGTTACAGGGGTCAATTACAAGCATTTTTTTGTGAATAGACATACGCCGAAATCCTACATACTTTCGAGAAAAAAATTCTTTGCCGAAAATCTGTTGAGCTGTTCATAATCTCGCGGCCAAATGGCGCCACCTATAATAAGGTTGGAGATCGTACGGGGATTCCCGTGGCTTTTGTTCGAGCCGCATGGTCGGCATCACATACTGTAATTTATTGAACTATGTAATATGTAAAGAATAATTAATGTGGTTGTGTTTAATATTTAAATATTCTCTATATATAGTTATTTAATCAGTTCCTATGCAAGGGGACCTGATATTTTTCAACAAAATCTAATGCGAGACCAAAAATGCTTCCTCAAAATTTCATGCGAATCTTTAAAATGTCATAACACCTGAACGGATTGGAGGACTTTAATTTTTCAAACTGCAAACAACGCGTATTTTAGTGGAGAATGTGTAGAAATTCTAACAATATTGAAAAAGTTGTTCCTTGACACCGTAAAATGAGAAAAACTCACTAAAATTGGTCTAATATTCAAACGACCATAACTCCTACAATAGTGAAGGTATCTCATTGAAATTTTTTTCTGAAGCAGAGCCCATGGGTACCTACAAAAAAGTATTAGACAACTTTTCTGTAGAGCGTCAAGCAAATTTATTAAAAATGAAAAACAAAATTTTAAGAAAAATCGACCTCTAAATTTTTCGACGAAAAAAAAAAATTTCAAATCGTTCTGGAAAAATTATTTTCGATTGCGGAGGTCAATTGCAATCATTTTTGGTCATTAGACATACCCTCGAAATTCAACTCACTTTCAAGAAAAAAATTCGAGAAGGTATGATATTTTTCGACAAAATTAAAAGGTTTCAAATCGTTCTGGAAAAATTATTTTCAGTTACAGGGATCAATTACAAGCATTTTTAGTCATTAGACATATCCTCGAAATCCTACCCATTTTCAAGAAAAAAATTCAGTACGGAACTTTAAACGTTAATAATTTTTTGACGAAGCCTCCATCAAGAAATTAGTATTCTTGATTTTCGTCTTATTTTGGCCTCTAGAATCCCCCATTAAAATTTTTCTGAAAGGTGGCCAAACACCCTGTATACGGCGTCTAAGGCAAGGCTTGCTAGGACATATAAACACTTTGTAAAAACTGTATACAGTGAACTGTCATTTAAAATCGTACACCTAGCGGTTCAGCCGATATTTTTTCAATAAAACATTAAAATTGTACTAAATTATTGAAATTCATATAGAGGCATATATTGTAATGTTTCTGTGGCCCGTTGATAATATAGAGCGTAGTTTATTCGTGCCAATAAGTCATACATTAAAAATAATACAACTGTTTCAGTATTAATGAATAACGTACGAAAAACCCCGCAATTGCGTGGCGATCCTCACTTGGGGTTCCCCTACGGTCGACCCGTACTCTCCCGTAAAGCGCCATCATGCGGCCATATGCGCGCCACAGTTTCTTTATTTGATACATAGCAACAATAAAAAAAAATCTTTAGCAGTACTCAGTAAATTAAATAAAACTTGAGGTTGCGTATGAAACTTAGCTGTCAGTAAAAATTGTACAGAGGAAATAGGGTACAGTTTTAGAATAATAAAATAATATATAATAAAATAGTATATAATAAAAATTGTTTATATTAATATTTAGTTGGGTAACTAAATGCATTTTGAACGCACTGCAGTCGTCGAGGAATTGATTTTACTAAATTCTCACATAATTCAGGTGTTATTTTCGACCGTTCTTCTTGCAAAGCTTTTCTAAGGCTTTCCTTGTTTGTAATATTGTGCAATCTTACTTTTTTGTTTAATTCGTTCCAAATGTTTTAAGACATTGATATCAGGAGATTGTGGGGGCATTTGAAGAACTTCAGGGCAGTTATATAATAGCCAACTCTTCGCTACATAAGAATTGTGCTTTGTTTAAAATTCTCATTTTTTCGACACTATCTTTTAAATTATTTTTTAATATACTCAAATACGACCACTTATCCATTATATTATCAATAAATACCAGATTTCCAACGCTAGATGCTGACATACAACTCCAAACCATTTGAGACCCACTGCCAAATTTAACTGTTACTCTGAGATTTTTAATATCCATAGCTGTATTTGGTTTTCTCCGTACAATTTTTCTTCCATCCGAACTGAAGACATTAAATTTCGATTCATCAGTAAAAGTTACATTTTTCCAAAAAGTAAACTGTTCCTTTATATACTTCTTAGCAAACTCGTACCTCTTCTTTCTATTTTGCAAACTTATGAACGGCTTCTTTCGAGCAACTCTACCACGATACTTCTATTTTCTTAATACTCCTCTAACGGTTGAGTCACTTACTTTCTTATTTAAATATTTTTCAACTTTTGACGCTAATATTGGAGCACTAATCCTCGGATCATCCTTAATTTTTCTAACAATCCATCGTTCATCCCTGATATTCACTACACGGTCCTCCTCTTTGTATGGTTTTATTATACATATATTAAATTGTGCTTTTACTTCGATTAATAATTTTACTAATTTCATTATAACTTTTTTTGTTTTTATAGTAACAATTAACTAATTCACACTCCACTACTTTAGTTTGTTGTATTTTAAGTGTCTTTTATTAATTTTTTGGCAGTACAATGCATATAACAATCAGACTGCTGCTAAATTAGCTAGATTCAATCGTTGCTAATCATTGTTAGACAAAAAACAATTGGGGATTCACCGGATTTCCAATGTTACCAACAGTATACGATCTTTACTGACAGCTAAATTTCATACACAACCTAAAATTTTATTTAATTTACTGAGTAAGTACTACTAAAGGTTATTAATATAATAACCTATATTTAACCTATTATTAATATAAAACCTGAAAGGTTATTAGTATAATAATTTAGTACAATTTTCATGTTTTGACAGTCATTGTATGTATAAATACTAGCAATGCGAATGATTTGATGAGCGTTTCCATCTTCTTCTTCGTACTTTCCCCATAGTTTCACCACACGACATAAAAACCCGTAGTATTTTGTTTTACAAAGTTTTGTTGTAAATAAATAATCAGAAATCCCAAGCCTGTAGTGACTCCAAAAATGAAAAGATATTTCACATAATCAATGTAAGAATCTTATAAACATTATATCTCAAGTGTTTTTATACAAAATTTTCAGCGAACGATTGTTTAACGGATAGACGATCCGTATTAGAGGACGAGAGGCAACATTCTCAAGAGAAATTCTATGTACCTGAATGTACTCCTGATGGAAGGTATCACCGAGTGCAATGTTACTCTGGTTACTGTTGGTGCGTCTACCAAGATACTGGCAAACCGATTCCTGGAACATCTTCGAAAGACCGCACTCCAAATTGTAATCCAGTACCTACTCCTAGCAGACCCATGAAGGGTAATTAAATCATGTTATTTTATCGTACCTAAAGTATAAATTTAAACAAACGAAACATTGAATCTCTGACGTTAGGTTGTCCCGAGCAAAAGAAACAACTGTTTCTGCGCGATTTAATGGATTTAATGCAAAAGAAGATGAAGGCTTCCAGTACAAATTCAGAGGAAACGACAGCTAAGTGGCAAGCTTCTAAAGAGGAACAAATAGCGACTTGGCACTTTGTTATGCTCGATAAGAACAAGAATAAGGCATGTATTACTGTTTCTTTGCGCTTACAAGGGAATTAATTTTGCATTTTCTTTGTGGGGTGATTTCACCCCTTAAAAGTGAATTGTGACACGAACAAAAAATAAGTATGTATTACGGATGACCCACTCTACCTGTACACTAAGTTCCCTTGTTAGACGCATTTAGTAAGTAAAAACTGGGAGATATATGTACTATTATTTTCATTTTCAGGTTTTGGAAAGAAAGGAGTGGAAAAGTTTCCGTACCATGGTAGCGAGCAATAGGCAACTTCAGAGATGCGGCAAGAGACTGCCCAGATATTGTGATATCAACAACGACAGGAGAATCAGCATGACAGAGTGGCTTAGTTGTTTAAATGCCCAACGACCCACGCCATGTAATAAATTTTTGAGTATTCCAATACATCGAACCTTCATAACTAGAAACACTAATTTTATGTTACGAATGTATTTCAGCTGACAGCACGGAGAAAGTGTCCACGAGTAAACCGAAGAGAATGGGTCCGAATCCGTTGGATCAGCTTCTTAAAAACGACGACGACTAGGAATATATGTGATATAATAACGTGTGTTTGTCATTTCATATGTCAAAGTGATCATTCATTTAATACGCTCATCGTAACACGAGCAATGGAACTTTCGAGAGAAAGCCAGTTACTGTTAACAGAATTTTATTTGTATTTTTATATCCGGTGATAAATACCACTGTCACGTCATTTATTTTAACATAGATCATATTTATCTGTACCTCACAGATTGATAATTCGATAGTGTATTTTAGCATAATAACGATATAGTTTTAAGGATAAAAGTAACAAAGTATTACGGGCATACGATCGTGTATATATTGAATATTCTTCTCCTCGGTGCTACGCGCGACGCTGCTTTCTCATGACTACGATAATACGAACACGGAATTAAGTGAACGATGGCCGAACGCTAATTTAACTCGCTAATATCACACTGTTTTGTTGCATGAACGTTACTCAAAAAATTTGTTTAGGCTCGCACATGTTTTAAGATTTCTTTCGCAATTATTAACACTATCGATCCGAAGACAATTGTACAATTGAAAATTTGTTTATTGAAATAAATCTTGTTTTTGACATGACACATCCGTCGAACTCGTTCGCAAAATAACAGTCGATACAGTTTCGAATGTATTTTATAAGTAACTTTTCTGTTTTATTCGACGCTCACAAACTCACAGCAACGTCCATTTCTTCCTTAGCTTTGTAATAGTTGAGAGTGTATTAATATTACGAATTTAGTGGATAAAGCAAAAAATGATAAGATTTGTGTAAAACATAATACACAAATGGAAGAAATTGAGCAAACCACATTTCTGGAAATGTAACGTACAAATAAGGAGACTGCTTTAAAGTATATGTATATGTGTGTATATATGTACGTTTGTATGTATGTATGTATGTATACAGTGATTGGAAATTGACTGCCCCACCAGTTCTTGGAACTGACTTCCCGCTAATGTTTGTTTTTAAATCTATTGTGAGATATCAACGTGCCTTTCATCACTCACACTTTCTGAAAAAAAGAGATGGGATACCTTGGAAGATCTGCCTCCCTTTGACTTTGGCCAGTTTCGGTTATATACATATAAAATCTTGCACCTTATTCCCAGAATTATATATATATACACACACGCACAGATAAGAATATATACAGGGTGTTCGGCCACCTCTAGCAAAAATTTTAATGAGCGATAGTAGAGGCCAAAATAAGACAAAAATCAAGAATACCAATTTGTTGATGGAAGCTTCGTTAAAAAGTTATTAACGTTTAAAGTGCCGCCCTTACTGAATTTTTTTCTCGAAAATGCGCAAGATTTCGGGGATATGTCTATTCACAAAAAATGACTGTAATTGAACCCTACAACCGAAAATAATTTTTCCACGACGATTTGCAATTTTTTAATTTTCTCGAATAATTTCACACCTTCTCTATTTTTTTTCTCGAAAGTGGGCAGGATTTCGTGGGTATGTCTAATGACAAAAACTGATTGTAATTGACCCCCGCAACCGAAAATAATTTTTCCACAACGATTTGCAATTTTTTTTTCTCCTTTGAAAAATTTAGGCACCTAATTGGATTTTCAGTAAGGAATTTTTTTCTCGAAAGTGCGTACGATTTCGGAGGTATGTGTAATGATAAAAAATGATTGTAATTGATCCCCGCAACCGAAAATAATTTTTTTAAAACGATTTGAAAAATTTTTTTTCGCCGAAAAATTTCAGCACCTCCTCGATTTTTTTCCTCGAAAGTAGATAGGATTTCGGAGGTATGTGTACTCACCAAAAATGATTGTAGTTGACCCCCGCAACCGAAAATAATTTTTCCAGAACGATTTGAAATTTTTGAATTTAATTGTTAATAACTTTTTAACGAAGCTTCCATCAACAAATTAGTATTCTTGATTTTCGTCTTGTTTTGGCCTCCACTATCGCTCATTAAAATTTTTGCTAGAGGTGGCCGAACACCCTGTATACACACAGTATATACAGGATGTTTGGCCACCTTTCAGAAAAATTTTAATGGGGGATTCTAGAGGCCAAAATAAGACGAAAATCAAGAATACCAATTTGTTGATGGAGGCTTCGTTAAAAAGCTATTAACGTTTAAAGTTCCGTACTGAATTTTTTTCTTGAAAATGGGTAGGATTTCGAGGATATGTCTAATGACTAAAAATGCTTGTAATTGATCCCTGTAACTGAAAATAATTTTTCCAGAACGATTTGAAACTTTTTAATTTTGTCGAAAAATATCATACCTTCTCGAATTTTTTTCTTGAAAGTGAGTTGAATTTCGAGGGTATGTCTAATGACCAAAAATGATTGCAATTGACCTCCGCAATCGAAAATAATTTTTCCAGAACGATTTGAAATTTTTTTTTTTCGTCGAAAAATTTAGAGGTCGATTTTTCTTAAAATTTTGTTTTTCATTTTTAATAAATTTGCTTGACGCTCTACAGAAAAGTTGTCTAATACTTTTTTGTAGGTACCCATGGGCTCTGCTTCAGAAAAAAATTTCAATGCGATACCTTCACTATTGTAGAAGTTATGGTCGTTTGAATATTAGAACAATTTTAGTGAGTTTTTCTCATTTTACGGTGTCAAGGAACAACTTTTTCAATATTGTTAGAATTTCTACACATTCTCCACTAAAATACGCGTTGTTTGCAGTTTGAAAAATTAAAATCCTCCAATCCGTTCAGGTGTTATGACATTTTAAAGATTCGCATGAAATTTTGAGGAAGCATTTTTGGTCTCGCATTAGATTTTGTTGAAAAATATCAGGTCCACTTGCATAGGAACTGATTAAATAACTATATATAGAGAATATTTAAATATTAAACACAACCACATTAATTATTCTTTACATATTACGTAGTTAAATAAATTACAGTATGTGATGCCGACCATGCGGCTCGAACAAAAGCCACGGGAATCACCGTACGATCTCCAACCTTATTATAGGTGGCGCCATTTGGCCGCGAGATTATGAACAGCTCAACAGATTTTCGGCAAAGAATTTTTTTCTCGAAAGTATGTAGGATTTCGGCGTATGTCTATTCACCAAAAATGCTTGTAATTGACCCCTGTAACTAAATATAATTTTTTTACCATGATTTGAAATTTTTTAATTTCGTCTAAAAATTTCGGTACCTACTCGAATTTTTTTCTCGAAAGCGGGTAGAATTTCAGGGGTATGTGTATTCACCAGAAATGATTGTTATTGAGCCTCGCAACCAAAAATAATTTTTTCAGAATGATTTGAAATTTTTTAATAACTCTTTAATGAAGCCTTAGTCAACAAATTGGTATTCTTGATTTTCGTCTTATTTTGGCCTCCAGAATCCCCCATTAAAATTTTTCCCAGGGATGGTCGAACACTCTGTATAGTAATGCCTCGAATATTGACCGACGTTCGAAACCGAAAGTATATGTATAAAAATCTTGCACCTTATTTCCAGAGTATTTATAGATCAGACATTTAATTTCAACTTAAATTCTTATCGATGAAGTTGAAGTAAAATGTTTTACGATTAACAGTCTAAGAGATGAAAATGAACAATAGAGGGCAGTTTACATTCTTCCGAGCAGAATATGCTAGAATACACGATCTTGGTAACCACTGTCAGTCATGCTAGAGCTAGGTTTCGCTGGCCCTCCAGGTACTTGATGATGCGGTTGACGTATATGCCCAGGACGTCTTGGTGGAGCTAAGTACTCGAACATACTTTGCGTATGCTGTGCCAACATTTTACTAAGATCACAAGGCATTGGATCGGTCCAAAAAAAATCGTGATTCAATGCAGAATCGGAATCGTATCTTTTGGATGGATCGAGGATCAAAAGTTTATCTAACAAATCACACGCATAAGGATCCTTTAGATATGGCTTCAATCTGTCTTTGACCTACGTAAAAATGTTTTTCCCTTTTTATTATACATACCAGAAATAAATACAGTGTACGTTCCATAGTATTTACCTTTCGTTTTTGACCTTTAGGTAAATCCATTTTATTAAACAGCTCTAAATTCTCGACTCCGGGCCACACTTCGGTCGTTATAGAGCCACATAACTGTGAAATTAATATGAGTTGCTGCTGTTCTGTATTTCCTTGCATTATCGGTGATCTACGTAACAAAGAAGTAGAAAATTTCTCCTTCCAACGACATGTAATTGTTTTAAAAGTGACGAGGATATAGACCTGGTCCACATTTCAGCCATTATACATCCCGCACCCCACAAATCTACAGGGGGCCCATAATTTCTATCTCCGAGCAACAGTTCCGGTGGCCTGTACCATAGAGTGACAACTCTATTCGTGTAACGATTTGGTTGGCCATTTTTGTTCGCACTAAATGCACGAGCCAACCCAAAGTCAGCTAACTTTAGTATACCATTTTTTGTTATTAAAACATTTGCAGCCTTCATATCTCTATGCAAGATCTATAGAACAATAGTATAATTACAATTATATAATGAACGTTATTTCCCAACGATTGTATAATTTATTCACTCCTACCTTATTACTGTGAATGTAATAAAGACCGTTTAACAACTGCTGCATAACTTTTTTAATTTCTCCTAAACTAAATTTAACATTTACATTCGACAATAAACCAGCTAGGTCATGTTCGCAAAAGTCAAATACGAGGTAAAATGTAGAACGATAACGATTATATTGTGTCGCTAAAAGAAAATTCTCGATATTAGTTGTCGTATGCATCTGCGAAAGTACATTGCTTCAAAACATTCCTGCTTTGCAAGTCCATGAATAAATGTATACCTCGTGTTCTACATATCTCTATTAAATTTACTACGTTCTCATGCTTCAATAACTGCAGTATCCTTATTTCTCTCAAAGCAGTTATAGGAAACTGTAAGACAAAAATAATTATTTGTTATAACACTAATTATTTCATCCGAAATTTTGGAAATTTTTTCAATAACTCAAAATAGACGGAAAACTTGTAATTACTGAAATATGTTAAAATCTCAAAAGCCATTCTTTTTTTAAGTACAGTGTACTGTACAGACCCCCGAACATGTTTTCTCACATTCTTTTATTATTCAATAGTAATTGTAAACAGAAATCAAAAAGTAAATACAGATAAGCAGTATTTCTTCCGAGTCAGTGTAATGCGTACGAAACATTTATGCTTTCGTATGTATAATATATACAATGGACACGAGAATAAATTTTTTTGAAATCTTAACACATATAATTGAAGTAAAATTGTTATTCTTCCAGATAGTAGTAAAATATCCTTGATAAAATAATTCGATAGTTGTTTCATTTTGAAAGAAGACGATATTTACAAATAAAAGCGAATACGTACAGTGGTTCGCAGTGAAAATTGTCCACTACATTCGCTTTCTTAATTTTGGCCAAAATATGCATTATATAAACATGAGATTTTTGTAATTAACGTAATAGAAAGTGCACCTGTCGCCACAAAATGAATATATGCAATGAGATCTATGAAACTTGACTCGCACTAAAAATTGTTAGCCCCACAGTTAAAAAAGGCGATTCTGCCATGGTTTGGGACTGCATGGCAGCCAACGGTGTCGGTGCATTACCTTTTATCGAGGGAAATATGAACAGATGGATGTACTTAGATATTTTAAGGAAGACTTTGAAAGAAAGTGCACAAAAATTAGGGATTTTGAATACATTCCATTTTTATCAGGACAACGACCCTAAGCATAAGTCTGCAATCGTTCAGGAATGGTTATTCTATAATTGTCCAAAGGTAATTGAAACACCACCTCAGTCGCCGGATTTAAATGTTATTGAACATATATGGTACAAATTAGAGACCAAAATTCGACAACATTTTATAACAAACAAAGAACAACTAAAAGAAGCGTCAAAAATAGAATGGAATAAAATTTCTTCTGAATATACTGAAAAATTAGTTAAATCGATTAATAATAGGCTTAGAGAAGTAGAGAAAAGTGAAGGAAACCGGACCAAATATTAGAAATAAAACTTTTTATAATTAGTGTTTAACCGTTACCACTCCATTTTAGGTAAAAGTAATGAATGATACTAGTAAAAGAACGAATTCTAATTACAGTTATAATATATAATTAAAATGCACAAATATGCTTGTCAAAGCATAATGCATGCAAACCTTTTTTACATTCTACACAAATTAGTCTAGACCTTTTTATAGTACTGTTTTTTTGTACTGCAAACTACGCAACGCCTCAAGTTGCGTCCTGGTAGTTTTTCTAGTCCGTATACCTTTTTCCTCCTTACGTTTAATTCATTTTCCCTTGTCCCTAACCATTCATGTTCTATTTCCGAAATAATATTCGATATATATTGAAGTCGTGACATTGCTTCTCTTCCCACAGTTTCCTTGTACAACAAATACGAATTTAATACCATTCTTGTAAATATATTGAAGGTCACTTTTTTCCAATACTTCACTGTACGACGTTCGTCCAGATAGGTATATAACATTTTGTCCGATTCGTCTACACCACCCATATAATTATTATATGAATTGATAATCTGTGGTTTTGTTTTTTCTCTTTCTCTTCCATAGCGATTTTGAATTAATGTTACATTCGCTGCCAATGCCTCTGTAGAAATTAACAAAACGGGGTTCTTTGAACACTTTTTTCCACGATGTGCACATAGAAGTACCTCGGCATTGCGAAAATATTTCGTTTCTCCAACTTTTAATTCCTTAGCTTCGTTGGGGATATCTTTCCTATTTCTCCAGATTGTTCCCGTTACATAAGTATTTTTTTAATGTAAAAATTTGGCTAACGCAGTGCTTGTAAAATAATTGTCAACATATACGTGATATCCTTTATCTAAACAATCAGCATCTTGCAATAATTTTGTTACAACGTCATAACCAAGCCCATTTTGCGAATTCTTTGATTGTGCACCTTTATAACAATAAAATGCTACACAATATTTTGATATTGCATCACATAACATCCAAAACATAATACCCCATTTATGATGATTCTTGTTGGGTAAATATTGTGTAATACTGGAGTGACACAGTGTTCCCACTAAAGACTCATCGATAGATAACATTTTGTGTGGAGTGTAATATGTTTGAAAGATCCGATTGGCGTGCTCAACAACCGGATTGAATTTAGCACACGGATCATATTTTTCGTGCCCCGGTGGAAAACATTTTTTATTATCAACGATATGAAAACATCTTAAAATATTTTTAAATCTGTTCCTTGAGAACATCTTCTTAAACCAAGGAATTGCTCTAGAACTTTCAGTCCAATATGAATATATTGTTGGTCTATTTGTTATCCCCATTTCCAATAGTACGGCTACAAATGCCTTCAGTTCCAGGATAGTGACAGGATAGCAATTTACCATTCTAGAGTTATCAGTTCTTGTGGATTTTGATAACATTTCTTCTGCATATTTGTTCGTTTCCTCAACCATCATTGCCCAAAGAGAATTTGTGGAAAAAAAGATTAAAATATTCAATCGGTTTGGCTCTATTAGATAAACGGCATCGCGGTCCCGACATTTCAATGAATTGAAATCAATTGCCTTGGTCAATGTATTCATTTTCCGTAACCATGATATATTTTGAAATGTCTCCAGTATTAGGAATATTATTGTCAGAAACAGAATCGTCGATAACATTAATCCTTCTTCCTTTAAAAATAATAACTTCACTATCATCGCTATCGTAATTCGAATCCTCTATTATATTGCTCGTCTTACGTTTAGAAGGCATTTAATTGCCGAAGGGCATCAAATAAAAATATAAAAAAATTATACCGTAGAATACAAAAAAATAGTGAAAATTTTACTGTACATACCTTTTATATACGCAATAAAATATTTAAATTATATTCTTATATTATATGACGCAACCCAGACGCTGATAAATCTGTACTTACGCTCAGAAAGATGGCAGAACAACAATGAATTGAAACAATTACAGCTACCGTATAAATCTGAAAACAGCGCAATAGCGCTCCTTGGCATTCTTGGAGAGGGAATAAGACAGGCGCTGTCGCGCCGCTTGGCACTTTTGGACGGGAAAACAGCAAAGACACGTGGCACTCAAACGGTTAAGTTTTTGATTTATAACTAGATGGACGATTTTCATTGCGAGGTTCATTTCATACATGTACGTTTAAAATTTGTATTTTTGGGTTATATTATGTAATAATAAAAACAAGATAGTTCGCTATTCATAACATGTACATATTTTTTACTGGTATTTAGACTTTTATAAAGATTTATACTTAACCACGGTGGACGATTTTCACTGCGAGCCACTGTGTACATTTTTAGATTCGACGAAAAGAAACTATTGCAAAAAGCTCGAACACAGTTTGACACAAATACCAAGAAAACGGACAATTTACACGTAATCAAAGGAATTATACGCAAATTTGTTTAGTTAAATATCCTGTAAAATAATTCGAAAATTCTTGCTATAAAAAGTTTGGAATTTTAAAGGATTTTAAGTTTTATCGGGACAATATAATAACCATAGTTTCTCGGCCCTCAAGTTTGTCATTAGATCGAAAATTAACTGTCGCCGTCCGAGTGTTAAACAATTAAGTATTTAAATGTGTACATACCCCTTCCTTCTCGTTATCCATTAATACTTTTTTCATAGCTACGAATTTTTTTGTACAATTTTTGTCTCTAGCCTTGAACACCTCCCTGCAAAATAGCCAGAATCGTTGGAGAAACAATAAAAATTTGTGAATCGCGTACGAGCATAATCTAACCACGAATTTGAATTCTGAACAAAACTTACCCAAAAGTACCCTGACCAATTTTCGCAACCTTTTCATATTTCGAAGATTCGTCGCAATGGGGGAAATCAAATTCCTCGATATACTTTTCCTTTTCCTTGGTGTTCATCTTCGGTGTTCATCAGGTAAACATAATTTCCGCGACAGAGCATCGTTGGCTGGAAATCATGATGCTCCACACGACGCGAGGGTTTGACAGAACAATTTGCACATAACCTCGAAGGTAAAAAATTGATCTCGATCCGCGCGCCATCTAGCGGTGCCTGACGCAGATCTCACGCTTTCAGATTGAGAACGACCGTCGCATATTTATGTGTTTCGAACAACAAACAAGCTAACGTTTGATGATATCGTACCGTTAATATCCGCCGAATTTCGTAGCGGACGCGTCGAACGAAATGTGCGAGGAGATTTTTGCGTATAACAATGCATGACTATGATACAACCGAGCCGGTGTTCAAGAATCGAAATAATGCGAGGTGAGTACGTACGTATATGTACTAAACGCGATCAATAAATTATTGAGAAAGTCTTATCAAAGATATATTTAAGATGTTTCAACGTTGAAACAATTTGTAAAAACGTATTATCGTCGTTCTATAATTTCCATAAAATAGAATCACTCTGTCAAACTGTATCAACTCGCATATATTGATTAATACACGAAACTGAAACCGTGCTCGAGATACGTAGAAAGATGCGTTGAATGACAGTCAACAAGGTGTGTTCGATCAGTGTTTTTCAAATGTCAAAAAACCGTGAATCAATGACAGTACATTTTGTATCTTATTTCGTTCATCGTAACAGCAAACTCCATAAACTGATCGATTATTTAGCGTCATTTGCATCGGCATAATATCTTTTGATTCGAACCACGAATATCTACTTTCAAATCACCGCAGAATTGTACACGTTTCATTTTACTCTCGTGTTTCAATTTTACCGGATTTTTGAATTCTCATTTCGAAAATTTATCGAGATGTTTCACTCATGGACTCGTAAGTACGTGTTCATCAAATTTAAGGTTAAACGTAATAAAGTGGCATGTTGCATGCTTTCACTAAATATTCAACACGTTTCTGAAGATGCTCGAAAAATAATATTATGTAATATCTCTCGATCGAGTACATAATTCTTTAAATTTTCCAATATTTTATGTTATATAATGCGTGCAAATAAATTATGATCGTTGTTTGGATGTTAATGATATTCTGAAAGCAATGGTGATTGTCATGCGAGAAGTACTACTATGTTGACCTTGAAATTGTTATGTACCTTGTCAGCAACGCATACATTGAAAAGGGAATCACCGATTCGTATATTTTTCTATCTGCATACATTATGCGTCGGAGTTTTATTAATTACAAATGAATATTAAAACAACATAAATATATTATAAAACTTGATATATTTATAAACGAAGATACAAAATCTGTTACGCGAATGAATAAAGTTTTAAACTTAATATTTTTACATAACGTTGTAAACTTTTGCGCTCTTATTTATATTTGAGAAGGCTACCAAACTGAACGCACATACGACATTTTAACAAAAATAATTTTTTATTCAATATTTGCATGTAGAATACAAAAGAAACAAAATAGTTAGTATTATCTACAATCTTTTGGCTCCAAAACAAATTTAACATTTGTGATACTATTACGAAAATGTAGTATTAAGTACGTCTAAACGTGTTGAAGCAATTATCAAGGTTAAAGGTTTATGAACGAAATATTAAATGTACCAAAATCCGAAACGTTTACTCAAAATTAATTGCGGTGCAAAACTGACTACACGAACAAAAATTGCACAGAACGAAATAATAATGATATCACAAAAGTTAAATTTGTTTTCAAGAGCCAGAAGATTGTAGATAATACCAAAAAATTACTTTCGTTGAAATGTCGTATGTGTGTTCAGTTTTGCTCGTTACTGTATATTGTATACCTTTACATTTGTTTATATTTTATTTGTTTGTTTTCTGCATAATAGTTTTGTACGTTAAAGGTGGACAGGTATGAAACATTAAACATGCCTCATGGCTGGAGGCAGGAGCAACAACAAGCGAAGTGGAAATTTAGACAGAACGTGTCAATGGCTCTGTTGCCATCAACTGTATGCTTCTGTCGTGCCTGAGCTTCCTTCGAGCGAAACGTTTAAAAGGTATCAATGTGCAGAGAAGAACCGCATCGTTGCGAAAAGTCTAAGCGATCTACAGAATAATATTTTGAGGTAAAGTAACAATTTTATGTTATTATGTTAAAAAAATAACAAAAATCATTCGATAATACATTCGAGAATCAATTTGATTAAAATTATAATGTGTACCGTAAAGTATTTTTTTTTAAATCAATTATACGGCAGATAGTTCATTGTCAAATAAAGATGTTCGATCTAAAAAATAGAATAATTTCTAAACGTTCATGCATGATGTATCTAAAATGTCGGTGAATTGCATTTAGTTGTATAATGTGATTTGTATAATTAGTATGTATAATACAAAGTATCGAAGCGATTGGCATATATCGTACAAAATTATAAAATACTTGAAACTCCTGATACGAAACTATCTGTGACAACCTAAATGTTGTTAAGAATCTGTTATGTTTTATTTCATTGTGTAATAATTGTTGCATCCGTTTGAATTTTGTCTTTGTACTTATAACGAAATTGTGACTGACGGGAATGTGTATAATAAAGCCATTATGTGTACAAAATATAAGCTCTTAAATACATAACTGAATGGAGTGTTTTATTGTAGAATATTTACGGGCTCCTTGTATTGTGATCTTAACATAATACATGGATATAATATAATACCAACAAACAAGTGTATCGTTAAAACAAGAGCTCCACATTTTTATAAGGTCCTCAAACCTTATTTTATATACACTAACAGTCGCATTGATTGCATCCTTGATAAACCGGAAATTTTTCATCACATTGAAGGCTTTGTGAGGTATCGCCATATCGATAATCATACCTAGAAGCAGTATTTATCAGAACTATGTGTATTTTTTAAATACTGCAGATTGTATGCATGGACTGTTGTTTAATTCAGGAATATTTATGAAAATTCATATATTTTTTAATAACTTTTAACCAAATTTAGTGCTTAACTAAATACTAGTGATACGAACAGAGGAAAATAAACAAATTTTCCTAAATTAACATTCTAAAAGTTCCACGTATTCTTTTCGTTCGAATTGAAAAATATTTATTTGCATGCGTTCTCCATAAATTATGTATGAAAAATCTTTCTTTAATAAAATATGTATTTTGTTGAATTTGTAAAAAATTTATGCATTTATCTTTGATTATATTTGTTACTCTGTTTAAACGCAGTTAAACAAATATATGTGATGTATAAAAGAATATGTAGAAACTGTCCTCCACAGATAAATAATTACTTAAATAGTTGTAAATAATATTTTACTATAAATATAATAAAAATAAGGATATTAAGTTTTCTGTATACTTTATTATTTTTTTCCTTTAATTCGTACTTCTTTTTATTTTCCCGCATTCACGTTTGTATGACACAATATACACTATTTCGATTGACAATACAAATTATAGCAATTAGCATGTTATACTGTTTCATTTGTCACCCCTACTGTAAACATCATAGAATGCACATATTAGAATAATACATGTATTATCCCTTAACTGATATGATACTATTATGCTAATGGTACTATAGGTGAATTTTCACCCACCCGATATAATTATAATATTATTAAAACTATATTCTCTTCAAAATACAAGTTTATCTGTAAAATTTCACTAATAAAACAATATGTCAAAATTTCTATTGGATGAATTTTCACCTGTGGTACTCATTAAGGATTAAATATCTTTCCTCTTCTTATTATATACGTTTTAATAACATTTTATGCATTTTCAGGCTTTTATATAGCAATTCAAACTGCTTGCAAGAAGAACGACTATTGGTAGACCTTATTTTGAACGTTACTTGCCAATCAAGATTTGTGAATGCATCCTGTATCGATACTGTTTCCGACAACAATAAAAGGTTATCACTTATAATTATAACATTCTAAAATTTATTTTATGTAATACAGCGGTGCCTTGGATATTGACGTTTGGGATTGAAACTGGCCAAAATTGAATCGAGAATAGCAACCGATCCAACCAATTTCCAAGGCATCGCTTTACTTATTAATTTGATAAATATTGTTAATTATTTGTTTTCGTGCCAAAAGATATGTTGATTGCGCAACAGCAGACTGCAATCCAGCAATCGACGCTAAGGATACGAGAAATGTAAGAGAGTATGCTTCAACAGATGTAAGTCCCACTTTATCCGATATGGCTGATTCTGGTTTAGAGACTGGTTCTGTAAGTCCACATGAAAACACAACGTCCGAGAATTCGAGTACCGATTTTGAGGAATTGCAAGTCACAGGGTACACCTCCGCGAACGATGATTTTGTTAACATACGCGTTAGACGCGGGAACAGCAAAGACCAGAAGATAGTTGTGGATGCGGAGCGCTATGATTCAGCCAACGCTTACAGTAGCACATGCCATATAAAAGACTTGGTCGGATCGGGATTAATGGAAAGTGCATCGAACGAGCACAGCGCAACATGTTCTTCCGTCGATGCGGAACAACCGCAACTAGACTCTTCTAGCTCGTCCACGGACAATGCTCAAAAAAAGAAATTACATACAGACGAAATTTTTCAATACGAGAATCACGTACTTAGTGATCCATTTTACGAATCGGACTGCGGTAGCGACGAGAACGAGTCGTTCGAGTTTATCGATCTCGGTAATGTATCCTCCGTGAGCACCGACGCGGAGAAAGAATCCGCAAAGGGGGAATCCACGGAGAAACCATGCGACGAGAAGTTATGCAATTCCAGTTACTGTCGAACCGAAACTGCACAATCGGAGAACGCGAGACTCGAAACATCCCATAATATACCGAAACATAAAAGTTCCTGCAACGCGAGCAATTATTATTTTATCGACGCGTCGACGCTCAACGACGAAGTAGAAGTTCCAGCATCGAACGCGGCTAAAAATAAATGCTTCGACGACAAGCCCAAGCCGTATACCTGTTACTCTTCCGAATACGCCGCAAGTAAATCCAACGATTTTCCCGACGAGCAATGCTACAAATTCACATCGCTGAAAACATCTAATTTGCAAATTGGTCACGAAAGGGTGGCAGAATTCGAAAGGGAACTGAAACTCACGGAGTACTTAGAGCCGCTTACAGACACTCGGAAAGTAAGAAGAACCGATTCTATATCCGAGGATAAGGGAAACATAAATGCAGAGACAAACAAAGAGTCATTGGTTGTAGAGATCAAAGAAGCAGACAGCGGCGAAAGCGCACATCCTTCACCTTGCCCTGACAATAATAAGAATATGAACAACGACCGATCTATTATATCGCGTGTAACTAACGACAATGATGCCGCCGTTAACGTAAATAGTAACACAGAAACAACTGAGAACACGAACGACAAAGATACGAATTTAATAGAAGACACTCGACGTCCTTCTCTCATTAGGAGGAATACGTTTGAATTGGATTCCAACGACGAGAAGATATCGGTATTGAGACAAGAGTACGAACGACGACAAGGCAATCTCGTATTTCAAAATGCTATACCTCAGTATTCGGGGCACCGTGTAGATGGCGACTCGTGTTTCATTCCACCGGACGAGCCCGCGATTCCAGTGAGCACTGTTCTAAACAAGTTCAATATGGACGTTCAAATTCCACCCGGTACTCAATATCACGCGATGCCCTATCTGCCATTGGATAATGGAAAATACGAGATCAATCAGATACCGTCGGAAAATAATGATTCTTTGCAGAATGACAGTAAAATTGCTAAAATTTATCCTGTAACGAAAAGCGCCAGCGAGGAATTGGTCCCGGATTACCGAGCAGAGTTGGACGATGGGTCGAACAGCTGTAGCAATAGCTTGCCTGTTACGCTGAATTGCATTTTAGAGAAGGATAATAGAATAGATACGTTAAAAAAGATTAAATGCGACGAGAACACGCCTATTATTTCTGGAGGCGTCAGCACCTCGGATTATTCAAAGCCTACCGATAGTCCCACTGTCCGTCGAAAGACGGAATCGACGCCTATTGTTTCCGGGGGTTCAGTTATCATGGGTGAACCCGAACTGCGAGTGAAACCTTCGAGAATGGCTTCTTCCATGACCGCGTGGGTGGTCGACATGAGCGATTGCAATAAAACCGAATCCAAGTCAACAAATAATACTCAAGTAGGCATGTCTCAAAGTTTCTCAACGTCCGAGTGTGTTAAGAAACCTGTTAGAAAAACGAGCGTACACGACAAGCACGGCAGCTTGGGTTTCTTCGTTAATTTGAAGGATATGGATCACAAATCCGTCGCGCAGCAACAAAATCATCCAACGGAGAAGAAAGAACAAAACGAAAGTAGTAAGTCTTACTGTGAATTCTATGTCGATATATTTAATGCAAACTCTGCGTTGAAAAATAAGAAGCCGGAAGCAGAAGAGACGAACAGCAAGCCTGGAAAATCTAACGAAGACAAGAAAAATATTTTCTCCATGTTCATCGATTTAAGTGATTCGACCAAGAGCGCAGAAAGTACCGTACAGCCTACTCACAGGAGAAGTTTATCCACGTTTTGTGATAAACGAGTGGAAATAAAATCAGACGATATCAATCCTATTGAGAATAGTAGTGACAAGGCGGACCAATTGTCCAACGAACAAAAATCTGTTAGAGACAAAGCTAAACCGAGCGTGTTTATGTATATAGAGTCTGATTCTCCGGTGGTGAGAAGAAGAACACTGTCCTCGTCTCGACCAGCGTTCAAACGACATTCCTGGAATGTCGATAAAACGCAAGGTGCTAACAATAATGGACACGTTGCAAAGGAAATAGTGTTCAATAAGGAACATAAACGCGCGCATAGTCTCTCCGTGGACCGTGGCGACTTGAAGAAACTACAAGCGAAGCAAAGTTTTTCAAATCATTCTTTGAACGATGCAACAAAATCTGAATGCGTTACGCAGAGGAATTGTGCTCTTAGTAACATGGACACGTCTTCGGAGGATGCTTTCGAGTACGATACAAGAGACACGCCTCCAAATTCTCACGTCGAGGTGATCAACGAGGAGCTTCGCGTGAGTATAAAGGAACACGAATATACGGAGTTAAAAGCCGAACGAGCCGCGGATAACCTCAAAACTGCCGACGTCAAAGCGTACGAAGACGAATATTCGGAAACTTCGGCGTGGGAGAAGACCTGTACAGAGAGTACGGAGGGACAGACGCGTAAAAGCGAAACGTTTGATATCAGTAGCGGCAGCGGGCCATCCCCTGACAGCGACAATCACGATTACGAGCTGTCCGAGTTATTAAACGGTGAAGTCCCAAATATAGACCGAACCCAAGTGATACCAACTGTAGGTAACAAAATATCCGAAACTCATAAATCTTTGAACGAAACGATCAAGAAAATTGAAAGCGAATTGAAGAGTCCGGACTACGTGAAGCCAGATGAAACGTTTGAAAACCGCAATGCAACAGCGAAGAAGAACGAAAGGACCATGGGGCTCAATCTGAAAGCGACAACGTCCAATTTCGTCAGATTGTCGGATTTGGATAAAACGCCTGTCGCATCTCACACGGCGGATATTTTAACCGTGAAAGAAGATAGAACTACTTATCGTATGTGCAACAGTATACCAGAGACTTCGTGGATCGAGAGCAAATTAGTCATGTATAGAACGAATGGCTCGGTGAGGCCAGTTCCCAAAAAATTTACCTCGGTCATGAGCACCTCCCTGCCGTCTAAACAAAAGTCTCCTCTGGAAGATTTAACGGGGGAGTACGATGGCGAAGGTATCATATCGGAATCTGATCTAAGCAGTATGCAAAGCAGCATGGGTCGTTCTGGAGCTGGTAATTATTATTTATGCAGATTGTTACCTTTAACACGAACATAGAGAATATCTCTGTTTGTTTTGAGAGTACGAAAGAACTCAACGAAGAAGATAATTTGTTTCGTAGGGACAAATATTCTGATGAGCAAATATTGGTGATCATTTTTAACACGTTCACTATCTATGACCCATATAGGGGTCATAGCACCATGCTTTTGGATATGCCACTAAGGGACTGGACAGTGAACGTGTTAAATATGCTTTAAGATCGTTGTTTCGACAACCTTTTAGAGAAAGTTTTGATGGTCGTATTGGATTGGTCGAAAAGTTTATATGGATTTTTGTGATACTCGCTAAAACGCAACTGACGTCGTCAATTCAAATTTTAAAAGCACATGGTTAGTCGATAGTTAACACTTAACTGTACATCTTGACGAAAAAGTTTGAAGATTTATTTTACAATTTTACATATGGACTTCCAAAAGGAGTATTTTTGTCATATTATGCTGTTATATTTTAAAAAAGAAACAAAACGAAGCCTGTAAAACAGATTTTTATGAATTAGGAATTATGAAGTTTTCCCAAAGATGGGAATAAAATTCGTTATCGAATAAAGATATCTCCTACCATAAAAGAAGTACATTTCATTTGCAACTCAAAAATTGCACAAACTTTTTGGCCAACCTAATACAGTGAGGAGCAAAACTGAACACACCTACGACATTCTAAAAAAAATAATTTTTTATTCAATATTTGTATATAGAATACAAAAAAGACAAAATACTTAGTATTATCTACAACCTTTGGCTTTTCAAAACAAATTTAACATTTGTGATATCATTATTATTTCGCTTGGTGCAATTTTTTTTCATGTAGTCGGTTTTGCACCGCAACTAATTTTTAGTAATGATTTCAGATATTGGTACACTTAATATCTCGTCCATAAACCTTTAACCTTGATAATTGCTTCAACACGTTTAGGTATACTTAATACTACAGTTTCGCAATACTCTGGTGCAATAGAATCGCATCAATATAACGTCATGAAACCCTTATCTAAAGATATAAAGAATAATATCATTTTCCAATTAAAATTGAGTTTATCAATGGAAGTAATTGCTTGAAAATTTGCTGTTGGTCAGGGAGTTGTACATACAATACATAGAAAATGTAATGAAGTCCCTGCATCTTTTGGAGGCCGTCCAAAATTATTATCTTGTCAGGATAAGAGAAGATTGACAAGATAAAACTGTTAGAAAGCGATGTTGGAAAGGAAATTAGTAAGTGGACATCTCGAAGAGCATTAGAAGAAGCCAATTTTACAGGAATTAAGAAGAAAAACAAACCTGTCTTATCAAAAAAGAATGTCAGGGTCCGTCTGAATTTTTCAAGAGAACATTTAAGCAGGAATATGGAGCAATGGAAACAAGTAATTATTTCCAATGAATCAAAAATCAATCGAATTTCATCGGATGGATGTTGTTGGTGTTGGAAAAAGCAAGACGAACCTCTTATACCACGTCATGTGAAGCAAACAAAGAAATTTGGTGGTGTATCACTTATAGTGTGGGGGTGTGTTACTGCGTATGATGTAGGATCACTACATCGAATAGAAGGTACAGTGAATCAGTATACGTATAAGAATATTTTAGAAAAAAATTTACTAGAAACAATTGAAAATATGCCAGTATTAGAGTTGATGTCGTATTCCAACATGACAATGCTCCTAGGCATTGTGCCAAGAATTGGCTGCAAACTCAACTATTTCAAACCATGGAATGGCCTGCTCAAAGGCTAGACATAAACCCGATTGAAAATGTCTGGGCATACTTAAAAATGAAGTTGGAAAATAAATACAGTGCTCCCGCAACAACGATAACTGGTTTGTGGCATAGAGTGGAAGAACAATGGTATTCTATTAGACCAGAGTATTACGAAAATGTAGTATTAAGTATGTCTAAACGTGTTGAAGCAATTATCAAGGTTAAAGGTTCATGAACGAAATATTAAATGTACCAAAATCCGAAATGTTTACTCAAAATTAGTTGCGGTGTAAAACTGACTGCGCGAACAAAAATTGCACGAAACGAAATAATAATGATATCACAAATGTTAAATTTGTTTTCAAGAGCCAGAAGATTGTAGATAATATTAAGTATTTTGTCTTCTTTGTATTCTAATATGCAAATAGTGAATAAAGAATTTTTTCTGTTAAAATGTTATTTGTGTGTTCAGTTTTGCTCGTTACTGTATAATTAAAGTTTTTGTATACAAACACGTCACTACTTATTTATTATTTCTATAAACATATTACAAAGTATAACGGGTGAACTTAAAGATCAGACTTCACCAATTTCAGAATTCAATATAATAATAAAAAAAAAACAAAATATTTGCTCATCATCGAAAGAAGCAATTCTTCTAGTTTGTTTTTTCTTGTATCTTTGAACAAAATGGAGATATTCTAAGAAACAACCTGTATATCATATGTATTCTGTTATTTTTTCTTGTTATAAGGTAGTACAGAGGAAACAGAAACATCGAGTTTGGCAGGAGGAAGACCGTACAATAGATTGGGAGAAGATTTATTAAGGATGTTCTTGGAAGAAATTAATCCAGACGTTACGATCGACGTGGCTGGTCGTCGTATAAGAGCCCACAAATGTATATTGAGTTCTCGTTGTCAATATTTTGCGGCGATTCTTAGTGGCGGATGGATCGAAAGTGCTGGAAACGTTATTTCTCTGCAAGGATACTCGTACGATGCGGTACATTTTGCATTGTGCCACATATACAGCGGAGAAAGTAATATACCAGATTCACTAAGTATTGTTGAATTGGCAACATTGGCGGATATGCTGTGTTTGGAGGGGCTTAAAGAAGTTATTGGATATACGCTTAAAGTTAAATATTGTCATCTGTTTCATAAGGTATTTAGATAACACAAAAATACACGTTTTATAAACATAATAAGGTAAACCTTACGTTTAGGGGAGGCAGCTTCGATGACCTTGCATAATGACAACATATGTCAAGGTTACCCTCCTCAATAACATCCAAGAAGTTATAGCCATTGCTCATTTTTTATTAAAAAGTTATTATCATATAAAAATCATATAATTTGCATATAAATTAGCATACAAATATCATATAATTTAATGAAATATTTTATTAAAAATAGGTATTAGTGTAGTTTTTAGGGGGTCTGAAGGACGCAGCCCTCCAGTCAGCAAAACGAATTTAATATGATACTGTTCAACTCATGGGGGATGTATTATTTTATGCTCCGCAGGGCTCATGGAACGTAATTCCACATTCTTGTTTCTTGTTACCTGGTAATCTTTATATACTAATAACTTTTTAATGAAAAACGAGAGGTAGCTATACAGTAACGAGCAAAACTGAACACACAAACGACATTTTAACAGAAAAAATTCTTTATTCACTATTTGTATATTAGAATACAAAAAAGATAAAATACTTGGTATTATCTACAATCTTCTGGCTCTTGAAAACAAATTTAACATTTGTGATATCATTATTATTTCATATCGTGCAATTTTTGTTCGCGTAGTCAGTTTTGCACCGCAACTAATTTTGAGGAAACATTTTGGATTTTGATACATTTAATATTTCGTTCATAAACCTTTAACCTTGATAATTGCTTCAACACGTTTAGACATACTTAATACATTTTCGTAATACTCTGGTCTAATAGAATACCATTGTTCTTCCACTCTATGCCACAAACCAGTTATCGTTGTTGAGGGAGCACTGTATTTATTTTCCAACTTCATTTTTAAGTATGCCCAGACATTTTCAATCGGGTTTATGTCTAGCCTTTGAGCAGGCCATTCCATGGTTTGAAATAGTTGAGTTTGCAGCCAATTCTTGGCACAATGCCTAGGAGCATTGTCATGTTGGAATACGACATCAACTCTAATACTGGCATATTTTCAATTGTTTCTAGTAAATTTTTTTCTAAAATATTCTTATACGTATACTGATTCACTGTACCTTCTATTCGATGTAGTGATTCTACATCATACGCAGTAATACACTCCCACACTGTAAGTGACACACCACCAAATTTCATTGTTTGCTTCACATGACGTGGTATAAGAGGTTCGTCTTGCTTTTTCCAACACCAACAACATCCATCCGATGAAATTCGATTGATTTTTCATTCATTGGAAATAATTACTTGTTTCCATTGCTCCATATTCCAGCTCAAATGTTCTCTTGAAAAATTCAGACGGACCCTGACATTCTTTTTTGATAAGACAGGTTTGTTTTTCTTCTTAATTGCTGTAAAATTGACTTCTTCTAATGCTCTTCGAGATGTCCACTTACTAATTTCCTTTCCAACATCGCTTTCTAACAGTTTTATCTTGTCAATCTTCTCTTATCCTGACAAGATAATAATTTTGGACGGCCTCCAAAAGATGCAGGGACTTCATTACATTTTCTATATATTGTATGTATAATACCCTGCCCAACAGCAAATTTTCTAGCAATTACTTCCATTGATAAACTCAATTTTAATTGGAAAATGATATTATTCTTTATATCTTTAGATAAGGGTTTCATGACGTTATATTGATGCGATTCTATTGCACCAGAGTATTGCGAAACTGTAGTATTAAGTATACCTAAACGTGTTGAAGCAATTATCAAGGTTAAAGGTTTATGGACGAGATATTAAGTGTACCAATATCTGAAATCATTACTAAAAATTAGTTGCGGTGCAAAACCGACTACATGAAAAAAAATTGCACCAAGCGAAATAATAATGATATCACAAATGTTAAATTTGTTTTGAAAAGCCAAAAGATTGTAGATAATACTAACTATTTTGTTTCTTTTGTATTCTACGTGCAAATATTGAATAAAATTTTATTTTTGTTAAAGTGTCGTATGTGTGTTCAGTTTTGCTCCGCACTGTAACTGTTTGAGTGTAGCTCAAGTGTGTGACCTTCATAACCTGTGCGAATATCAAGGTCACATTGAGTATACGTATACGCAGATTCTAGTGTAACATTAATAATACATTTTTATTAATAACTGTTTAATAAAAAACGTGCGATGACTAAAATCTTCTAAGGATCATTCAGGGTGGTGATCTTGACAACATAATATGTCAAGGTCAAGGTCATCGCAACTGCCTCCCCTAAACGTGAGGTTTACCCATAATAATTATTCATTCGTCATGGTCTAGCCTTGTCAAATATGTGCTGTTGGCGTATTGGAGTGTATGCCCTTGGCGGCGGCTTATGGTCTCGACGAAGTGTATCGAAAATCTCTTCGATGGATCACGAGACATTTTGTACGAATATGGCCGTGTAAAGCGTTCGCGACTCTTCCAAGAGAACTGATGTATAAGTGTTATCATCAACATATTGTACACATGGTATGCAAAATTTAATGTATCCTTCAACGCTAGATTTACCAGCCATTTAAGTATACCTATTTCTACCAAAACCAGTCAGAATGAACTTTAGAAAAAGTGCTTAGTGGGGTCTCCAGTCTTTATTTACTTTTAAAAAATGACAAAATAAGATTAATAATATTGATTGTAATTCATAAATAGATTTATTGACATTATCAATTAATCAAACGTTTAATTGTTTGTAGTTCATTGGTCACAATTTTTACATATGCTGATTTTGCTCTGTGTGCACTTTCCACATACATTTTTTTGCATATATTGCAAATAGTAGTGGTCTTATTATTATTGCAATATCCTATTTGACACCATTCACGTACAGGAACGGTGCCACTTGAATTTGGTATATTAGCTTCTTGTGGTTTTTCCCCTGAAGTCTGATATTGAGAAGCAACTTCTTCAGCTAAACGAAACAAAAAGTCTTTCCTTGATATATTTTCACCTGTCGTGTTTTTATACAATATCCAGCAATTTATTACAGCTAAATCCAAAACATTGAAAGAAACTTGAAGTGGCTACCTTCTGGAACCTAATTTTACAGTATATTTTTGTGCCATTTGGTCAGTGACATCTACCAAATTTTGTGTTATTATAAAAAGACACAGTTTCGAGTAATTTCTTGTTAGTACTTAGTACAAGTACTTTCTTATTCGGTTTACTCTTGTAAACTGTAAGTGTACATCCATTTGATTCGTACAGCAACGTTGAGAAACGAACCATGCTATCTTTCTTCTGTTTGCAAATTTTCGGGATTTCCCTCTTGTTTGCACAGATTGTTCCAAGCAACGAAGTATTTTTAGATAATAATTTCAATGCCAGAGGCAAACTGGTAAAGAAATTGTCCGTTGTTACGGTTCTACCTTTCAAAGTATATGGTTCTACAAGTTTCAGTACAACATATTCACTGAGTCTCATCTTTTCCTAAATAAGGAAAGCCACTTATTACATATTTAATTTCAACGTCAGACACCAGCCAAAATTTTATGCCAAATTTCTGAGGTTTGTTTGGCATATATTGTGCGAACCTGCATCTGGTCTTCGTTGGAAAGAGTTGCTCATCCACCGTAATATAAACTTCTGGTTTGAAGCAATTTTGGCTATTTTCAATAAATTTATCCCAAACCGTTGAAACTAAAGCGAATTTGTCTCTTCGTAAACATTGACTCCTCTGATTTCTTTTGTCAAAACGAATGTAAATATACAATTCTAAGGCCCTTACACGTACTGCATCAAAATCATTATTTGAGTCATTTCATCACATGGAAACATGCACCAGTCATTTTGACTGGTACTGGTATAAGTGTCAATAACAAAAAATATATTCGTTTCAAATACGTATAAAAAGTTAATATAAAGTTCATGAAACTGATTCTTTAGTTATAGCTACAAAAGTCCACATCATTTCGGAAAGAAAATGTTACATGCAGTAGGAATTTTGAATTGAAATTGCAAGACCAGTCGAACACTTTCGTAACAGTTTTGTAACACTTTCTTTTTGTTATAAATTACCAGTCTACAGACAACGTGCTTCAAACCATGATGGACTGCGACAAGCTACTCGCAACCTTGCCAAATGTCCGTTGGGCAGAACCAGTGTTTAGGATGGTGTCAAATTTGCTGAAGACTTCGATGAAGTTTTTGTCGGACAATTTCTCAGGCGTGCTGGGAAACGAGAACTTCCAATCCCTTGGTAGGGAGTTGACGTGGAACATCAGTCGATTGGAGGATAATTTCTTAGCAGCTGCGGAACGCTTGCCTCCTGAACAAGCATGCAAAAGTTACTCAAAGTTACACAAAATGTTGGCTTCCGCGCAACTGGACGAAGCTCAAGAAAAAATCAAGTGGGGCCAGTTGTTCATTGACTTTTTGAAAAAGATTCAATGCCGGGTGGAAAAATGCTTGGTCAGGGACGCAACGCGAGCAGCGAGAACCGCCACGTGGTTGAAAATGGACTTGGAACTGCGACGTAGAATACAGGAACTGGCGTGTCTTGTAATCCTACCTCACGAGACCACGAAACGTCAGTCGAGGCATTCAAACTTTGTGAAAGTAAATAACGTTCAAACTATAAATAAATTTTAATCTGTTAAATGTTCTTAATCGTACAAAATTTATACTTGTAGGAACCAAGGCCAGTGTCGAGTCGTTTAACGACAAATCGAAGTTTGGATTTGAAACGCGTGAAGATGGTTATATCCGAGCACAATGACAAAACATTGAAACAAATGGCAACGATACAACAAACAAAGAAGGTGTTTAATAAACCTAAAAGCGACCCGCTGGAACGTAAAATGCAAGATGATAAGCAACCTGCTACTGATACAAGTAGACCGAAATCGTGGCCCAATAAAGTAGAGGTAATTGAAAATTATTATTTGGAATTCTTATGGATTTGTTAGCGTTTTAGATTATTAAGATTTCAACGAGATTGTAAAATACATACGTTGCACTTAAGAAAAATTTTTAAGGGGGGTCAAATGTGCCCTTGAACCAAAGGATTCTGCACAGATCTTATGGAAAATGGCCCCCGGTTAAATTAGCTGAACTTTTGATATGATGTAATTCATGGTATCTCGATGATCAAGTTCCAATGGACCCAAACTCGTAAATTGAACAATTTCCGAGATAGGGGGTACCAAAAGTCAATAATAGTGCGCCTTATTCTAGACTACCACGTTTGAGCACATTTGAGTGTAAGAAGCACTGTTGTAACCCTGTGGGCCCTTAAATATTACCCCTTGACTCTTTGACTCCCCTTCAGGAGTCAAAATAAGAAAACGCCAAAAAGGTAAAAAATGGTTCTTTTTTCCATTGTACAAACATGAAGCACCGTCAACATTAGCATTACCCAGTGTGCACCACGAGGAGGTTGTTCGATCGGATTTTGCACACCATGTGGCCCTGAAAAGGACCGTTTTTATAGTTCTCTCTATTTGTCCATAACAATCTCAACATTCATATTGTCTTGACGCCCTCTATTAGCGCAGATTGACACTTCGTTGATAGATAACATCCTTAGATGACTAAAAGTTTATTCACGATTTCGGAATCGTACCAAACATCAAGTTCTTATTTCTCACATTCCCAAAAATGAACTGGAACTAGAAGAAGAAGTAACAAATGGTAACTACTGCATCTGTCAATCCGGTGCCAAAACATTGGGTACATGCGCACATATTGCAAGTGTTTTAAGGTTTTTTAGAATTTGCTCGTCATCAAAGGCATGTCAAATATTCGGATGGCAATTTTCTAAATACGATCAGAAATGCCGCTAATAGAGACAATCAAGACACTATGAATGTTGAGACTCTTATGGTCGAATAGAGAGAACTGTAAAAATGGTGTGCAAAATCCAATCGAGCAACCTCCTCGTGGTGCACACTGGGTAATGCTAATGTCGATGGTGCGTCATGTTTGTACAATGAAAAAGAGAACCATTTTTTACCTTTTTGGCGTTTTTTTATTTTGACTACTGAATGGGAGTGAGAAGGTCAGAAGGTCAAGGGGTAATATTTAAGGGCCCATAGTACAAATACTGAGTTTTAAGAAGTCAAATAAATGTACAGTGTACAACAGTGCTTCTTACACTCAAATATGCTCAAACGTGGTAGTCTAGAATAAGGCGCACAATTATTGACTTTTGATCCCCCGTATATCGGAAACTGTTCAATTTACGAGCTAGGGCCCATTGGAACTTTTCATCAAGACATCATAGATAGCTAGTTTAACCAGGGGCCATTTTCCATAAGATCTGTGTGGGGTTTCTTTGACATATGATGGATCCATCGATAGAGCATCAGAATCAAACATTCTGTGCCAAGTTTCAACCCTTTATCTTGTTCAGAAAAACATTTTTTTCCAACAAAATAGGAAAAACATGGCTTAAAGAACGTAAATTCTTACAGACTAAAGACTCTATTTGAGTACGCATCGTCTTCGGTGTGGATTACATGTATTGCACTTAATGCCATTTAATAAACTTAAATAAATGAGTAGAGGGACTGGGTTAGGTCTGGATTAGGTCTGGGTTAGGCTATTACACCTAAGATTAGTATAGAAAAGGCACAATAAAAACTATACTAGAGTGACGAGAAGAGGGAGAATAAGAGGATAGAGGACTATAGGGGGATAATCTTGGGTTAATGGGTAGGAGGTAAAGTGGGTGAAAGGGGGATAGATACTGGTTTAATTAGTTTAACCACCAGTATTTGCATACATTTCTTCGATGCTTATCTTTTAAGTCTTATGAATGAGAGTCTATAGATGAATTTGAGATTTTCGTCGTTTAAAAATCGAAAAAAATTCTCAAACACGTATCTCAATAACCACAATGCACCAGATTTTTTACGTAATTTTCGTTCTCAATTTAATAGAGGAAACAGGCACAAATTCGATAATCCGGATTTTCCCTATAACTAACCTTCCGAACAAGATAGGGGGTTGAAATTTGACACAGAATGTTTGATTTTGATTCTCTATCGATGGATCCATCGTATGCCAAATTTGGTTCAAGGGCACATTTTACCCTGGTGCAAAACGTTAAACAAGGTCTTTAATTCAACACTTTACAGTACCACAAATCAGGTACACAGGTTACAAGAATAATGAGATTAAACGCGAATAAATAGTAGTGAGTTTATGTAAGGAAGGACGATATTATTGATCGTCCTTTCCGATTGAGATCGAGAATGAGAAAATTCTGATATTATGCATTAATTCAATCACATAATATCTTTGCAATTATATTAATTTAATGTTGTATTTGTTTGTTGTAATGTTGTATTACATTTGAACTAAACACATCTGATGGTTAAGACAGTTAGCACAAGACTGCCTAATAATCGCGCTCTTGGCCACTACGAGGTTTCGACCGGCCGGCAGAAAGATCGGTGCGCGCGCATATCAATTATGTGCAAATGCCCAAAATCGGTTTTGGGCGCATCGCGCTGTTAGCTGGGCCAGCTATCCTACTCGTGCACAAAGCGTGCCCGAGAGGTGCTGCTAATGAGCGTCGTGGTGGCCAGAGAATGAGTTAACAATCGAACAGACCCCCTTATTCGGCTATACCCTTTTTCATGGAACAATTTTCAGGTAAAATCGAGGTATTTGGAACCTAGAAACAAATCTGTTCCCAAAGAGACTATACATCCAACGCATCCGGAAAAGGTAATCGTACAGCCACGGCGAAAAATAATGATCTCGTCTTCGGATTCGTCTCGGACGTCTAGCCCGGCAATGAAACGCGCCACCGAGAAAAAACCACTAGCAAAGATAAAATTACCTATAAAAAAAGATGTGAAGGCTCTTTCCTCGGACAGTTTAACAGAACCAAATACAAGCAAAACGAACAATAAAAAGGACTTGATCAGTAAGAGTTGCGGTATCACGCGTCCAGAATCGCCAACCTTTAAGCAGAAAAATGCAGAGATAGGCTTATCTGTAGATTCTTTGGCGGAATCAAAGAACAAGCCGGTAGCTGTTAAAAAGAAGGCTAGTAAAATGGACACCTCGATGTCCACGGACAGTCTTATGACTGAGATCACGACAACGCCTAAATCGAACACGTCGAACAAACTTTCGCCGACCTTAGGGAAGACAACGAACAAGGTGCAAATTTATGAGAAAGTAAAGAAGAGTTCGCCGCCGATACAGCAAAGAAGTCCGCTTACTATAACGAGAAGAACACCCAGGTCATTGGAAAGCTCAACCGCAGCGAGCAGAAGCAGGGTGGCGGCTATAAGCGCTTACCACGGTTCGCCTAGTTTACGAAGGAATCTTCTGGACGCCGCTAAGACTCCGGACGTTCCAAGTAAGTTGTTGAATAACGTGTCGTGTAAGCCTACGAATACGCGACCGATTACGCAGTCTATGATCAATCACCCTACCGTAAAGAGAGAAAAGAAAGAGGTAGTGCCGAATCAACAGGGATCCGAAAGCCCTAGCAAAAGATCTTCCCCAAAGTCGTCTGGCACCAACAAAATAAGTAAAACCGGGGTTACCATTAAAAGGACAACTAGCAGGGCCCCGTGCGATGAGAAAGTAAAAAATAAGTGCCATAACGGGGAAGTCGCGAAACAGCTTACGGTGGGCTCTAGATCAGGAACCTTTCTAAAAGACGAGCCCACGATACTTAAAAAAGCAGATATTAAATCTTCTCAGATCAATACTTAAATTTATATAGATCGGTCGCTGTGTATGTTTCTTTTACGTACAGCGCGGCATTAGTTTTACGAATTATATATATATATATATAAAATTATCATCTGTAATCGCAAACGTGATAATTCCAATTGTGGGATCGTACTATGTGTAAAATAGAATTACGTATAATTTTAATTTAATGCAAGTTGCAGTTTGACGTAATCGTCGAAAGGAATATATTTGAAATGCATTTATTAGATATATAGAGAATGTGCTATGATTTTGTTGTAATATTAAAGGTAAACTATAAATGAAATATGGCACTAGGAATATACAGGTTTCAAATTAAATCATTTTTTTTCCATTATCTGATATCTGACAGAGAATAGGAATTCGTGGCTCTTAGAGGCATCTTGGGTAACGATTAAATTTAGTTTAATTATATTGCACAACTAGAATAACGATAATAACGTTACTTTTGATCACAAATGCAACTATCTTAATGTCCCACCCAGTTTTCAACCGATGTGCGCATTAATAATGTCATAGTATTACACACCACATATTTATAGATTGTAGATCTAACATGGCCAGTTAGATAATATATTTAGATAAATCTTTCTTTCTTTCGCATTTAAGGAGCCATATCACCCAAAATTGTTTCGTAGAATTATTTACTAATTTTACTAGTTGCAGTATATGTAAAGTAATTCCTCGTCTTACCATTTGATGTTGCCATTTTACTAACTAATTTTTATTGTAAGTAGAACTCCGTTTACCCTCCAGTGATCCTTATTAATGAATTATATGTAGTTATTGTATTTATTTATTACATTTATATCTATATTTTGCAATGTACATTTCTATGCAATATTTGTATCTAGTCATTTATATATTTTAAATATTTACTTTTATGTAATGTTAATAAATAATTCAATATAATGTTAAAGGATCGTTTAATTCTTTAAGTCATTGCTGTCTAAAAAGTCTAAGAAGAAAACAATTTAAAATATTTACAATCATGTTTTGGCTTAAATATGTAATAATATACAACTAAAGTTTATACATCCAATAACGTTCCTCGAGGTCTTGTTCTCTTTGGATCCGCTTCGGGAGGGGGCATGGCTTTCCGTTTATTCATTCCCTTTCTCTCCAATTGTTTTTCTATTATTCGCGCATTATTAGCGTACGAATCAGCAACTTCTCTCTGAAAAAGAGTAACGCATTGAATAGAAATTGGCATTTAACAAAACAGAAAAATTAGTATAGTATCGCAATTTAATTTTGTGCATATTTTATCATAGCTCGACATAGCCTTTACTTGCAACACCTCGTTCGTGTATCTTTCATTAGAATACTAACAAGAGCAACAAACATTATTAGAACGATAGACATTTTTCAACCAACAATTTACTTTGTTTTATCTTTCAAAAAGCAACTTACCGCTTCAATTTCATCTTCTTCTTCGTCGATTGTAGAAACAGTAACCGAACTGAATTTTCCCATGTTCTTTGTATGTTTCGTCACCATTATTTTCTTGGGTTTTTCGATAGCCACTTGGTTGTATATGTCCGTCATGGGACCCTCGCCAGAACTTTTAATCACCGCTCCTTTTACGATAAATACAATGTTTGTTCCTTGATCGTGTTTATAATAGAGAAAAAGTCCGCACCTGTGAAAACACATGTACAATTTGTAATTAATACCCTTTGCTGCAACTTGCTAAAACGTACTACCTTATACGTAACCATAATTTAAAAAAATGCTTTTTAAATATTTACAAAAGGTATAAAATTAAGAAACGTAAGAATATTGTTTACTTTTTACACTTCTGACGATGTTGTTTCTCTATGCCTTCTGTGCGTTTCAAATATACAACTTCATCTTGCTCGCAGGTCATTTTATGAGCATGTTTGCTTCCATCGATAACTCGTGCGCCGTCTCTCTTTCTCAAAGGCAATTTTTCTATGGCACAATCTATATAAATACGAAAACATTTATTATTGTATCTTTAATTACATATTTCGCGAGAATAAAGTTAGATTGTATACAATAATTAAAACGACTCTAACCTAAAATTAAAGTCATATAAATGTGAAAACATTTATTATTGTATCTTTAATTACATATTTCGCGAGAATAAAGTTAGATTATATACAATAATCGAAACGACTCTAACCTAAAATTAAAGTCATCTGTCCGCATAAACAGTAATAAATGTGTAGCGGCTTTTCTTCGCTATATTCTTCTTGATCCTTGGTATCGGAGCATATTATACTTCTTGAGACTACCTTCGGCATTTTTACTCATAATATATTCGATACTATTATGATAAAGTCGACGCGTCCTTCGTCGTGCATGTAAACACTGATGATAACTGAATCAGTGATTCTCAACCTTGTTGATATACAAATATTTCTGCACTATCGTCCTTCCGCGAGAAGTAAGCCCAGCGTGTTTACATCCCCACTCTTGCTGCACTCCGCTGATTGGCTGTCACCGATTTCGTCACCGTTCTCGACCAATACCAGTGAGTCAGCGGACTGCAACAGAAGTGGAGATGTAAACACGCTGTGCCTTCTTCTCGTGCAAGAATGGTACATTGCAACGCATAATATCTATCGATTACGCAGTTTTTGTTGATCAACTAACAACAGTTTTTACGAACGGCGCCCGACTGCGTAGGTAATATTTTGCGAACAAGTTATTCGAAATCCAAAAACCAAAGATATTCTTGATATAAATAATGTACTATGCGGATGATTTTGTATCATCTTAATTAGCTGCAGGTTTTCTTTGCAACAATTATATGGATATATTTTTATTTATTACATTCTTTCCAATAAGTAAATGAAGAATTAGAATGAATTAGTTGTCTCCCAAATAAAAGGACCTTTACAATGCGTTCACAGAATGCATACATAAAACATTAACACGTTCACTGTCCGGTCTCTCAGCGGCGTATCCAATTAGCTTGGCGGTGTGACCCATATACGGGTCATAGACAGTGAACGTATTAAGCGTGTAAAAATTTCCGTAGTAAAACACTTTATAAAACTTTATAGTACGGGACTCTTCGTAGAGAAGAAATATTTTTGTATTATATTGAACACTCGCTAATCCAAATGTCGGGTAATCCAGTAAAGTTCATAATTTGGAAGACGAATTCTTTTTTCATTTGAATATTCAAATACGTATGTAGTTCGAATATTTCGAATTTTCGAGTATCCGTGTATCTGAATATTCAGTGTTCGAATATTAATAATGGAGACGTAAATTCATTGCTTTTTTGAAGCGTTATTTTCATTTGAGATTTCTATAAATTATGAACTTTCACACTTTTGTTTATTTCAAACGTTGTAAATTGAATACAAACTGTTCAAACAATCGAGCACGAATTGATAGATTTTTGTCTCTCCAAATTTTGATAACTGGTTTGCCCGAAATTAAGAAATTATTTTTCTTCATTATCATGAAGACAATCATTCATTATGTTCTGATTAGTAAATTAAAATGAATTTACTGTATCGATATTTTACTTACGGCTTTATTAAAATCTACTTAATTATTTAAAATATGTTCAAAATGTTTGAGATCCTCTTCCTTATCCAATGGGGATTTCATTAAAATCACAAAGTAAATAACAGCAAATTGCAGTTGAACACCTACATGTAAAAACTTTTTGTTGTATCGGAAACAATAAGCGTCTGTTAAACAATGGAATAGCGGTACATAACGGTGGCTGCTTGTATATGATGTTTCTATGATTTTAATACTTCGTTTTCATCCATAAGGCTCAAAACCTTAGTGACTCATATTTCTACCTTATCTCGTAATCCTACCTTCTCCTCTGCTAATTTTCAGAGTCAAGAAATGGTGTTCTTCCACACAATACAAGGATTAAGGACATAATTTACATGAAGCATAATGGAAACTATATTTCAATAAATTCAAATCGGTGAGGTGGCCATGATTCCGAATAACCATCAAAATATCTTCAGATTCATAAGAAAAAGTCAGTTAATAAATCATTTTCATAGTTTGCTTCAACAATACATTCTATTTAAAAATTTTGAAAGTGTAGACGCTTCTGTGTTAAAATGCATGATAATATCTTCTTTGTTTATTTTCTCTGTCTCCGGATTTATACTGCGATCACAGACGAGGTATACCTAAAAATTCGGAGGTGATTTTAGCGACCTCTTCTCATGGATGGCGGTCAGTTGAGAAACTATTCACTGAACTAGTTTTATGACCAGACAGCTGTAGTGTGTGCATAAATACATGTGAGTTGACTATGGAACGGATTAAAAAACGCAATTTTCAAACAACCCTAACACCTACAATAGTAAATACATTTCAATGAAACTTTTTTCTGAAGTAGAGCTCATAATTACCTACAAAAAAGTATTAGACAATTTTTCTATACGACGTCAAACAAAATTACTAAAAATCAAAAACGAATTTTTAAGAAAAATCGACAAGAGGTAGGTGCCTAAATTTTTCGGTGAAATTGAGAAATTTCAAATCGCTCTGGAAAAATTATTTTAGGTTGCAGGGGTCAATTACAATCATTTTTGGTCAATAGACGTACCTTCGAAATCCTAACCATTTTCGAGGAAAAATTCCTTACCAAAAATATAATTTCAGGCCAGAAATGTTTCTGTAATTTCATTTTCTATCTCACTTCCTCTTGTGTTTATTTGTGTAACCTGTTGGTAATGTTGCGAGTGACACGAAAATGGTAATGGGGCTCTAGAGCCCCAGAAAAATGGGCTGAAAAAATACATTGGATGTAACGTCTACTCGTATACCTCGTCTGTGCTTGAAACAGCGAAAACTCATCGAAATCTCTCGAAAACCCAAAAAAGTTAAGAGAATTCAAAACTTTTTTCGTGATTCAAAACTTCCAAAACTCAAACATCGCGAAAATCCATAAGACGTCTTCAAGACAAATTTTAAACGTCGGTACGACGTCCATTTTGAACGTTGATAAGACGACTTGAAGACGTTAATTTCAAACATCGATAAGATGTCCATTTTGAATGCTCATAGGACGATTTTGAGACGTAAATTTCAAATAACGATACGACATACTGCCTAGGAAGTACTTATACAATATCACGCTCCATATTTGTATATACACGAATATATTAAATTTAACTTAACTTAATGGATTTAGCAACAGAAATTTACAGTCAAACTTATTGCAGTCAATCTCAATCTCCAATTGTCTATGAAAAAATTCTGACATAAATTAAATTGCGTCTGATGACGGTATACGGAAAAAGTGTGATTACTTTTTATTATGCGACGCTTGTGGAAAAATATACAAATAAAATCATCGATTCAGTTATTAAATCAAACTACTGTAAACTAAATGAAGCATGGAAGAAAAAAATAGAAGATGGAAAACAGTAAAAGGAAAACCATCAAAATTCATGTAATGCGAATCACGAAGAATCAGCTGCCAACTGAAGGTTCACAGAACACAGTTACCGTCACAGACGAGATATATGAATAGACGTTTCACGTAATGTAATTTTTCGGCCGGAGTTTCTGGGGTCCCGGGACCCCATTACCATTTTCGTGTCACTCGCTACGTTATCAACAGATTCAGAAATTAACACAAGAGGAAGCGAGACAGAAAATAAAATTACATAAATTTTATTATTTTTTAACGGAATTAAAGCTGTAGGGTCCATCATTGGACATTAATCGATTAATTTCATTGGAGAAATCAATCGATTGAGAGTATTTAAAAATTTCAAGATTATTAAAATTCATAAGGATGTATTTCATTGATACGTACACCGCAAATTCTCTATTTTTTATTTTAAATTGTAATACATCATTTATTAAAAAAATAACTCGGCAGAAACGTATTTGCGACTCGAAATCAGTTTAATCAGACTGTGCATCGGGGCCCCGGAAACTCCTCATTCCTCGCTTTCGCACACTATGCCCAATTGCGTGTACGTGAGCTCGTTGAGTTTCGGAAGAGCCGAGAAGAACAGGCTGATACTCGCTTTCCTTCTCGCTCTTGCATCGCTGACGTCGCTTACATTTCTCAAAAGCAAGCCTGGCATCGCCAACCGTTCGAATCGTCAGTAAACGACAAAAGCCATCGTGACTGACAGACCTTACATTTCTCGAAATCGGTCCTGGGCGCTTTTTGAAGATTCATTGACTTTCCATACGAAGCGACCATGCATTATATACATATACATGTTATACATGCTAGGAACTATAAATTGTATAACTTTCGTTGTATATCTACTTTCTAATAACATGGGAAAATTTTAAAATATAAAAAAATGTAAGAATACTGTAGAATTTTTGCAATGGAGAATTATTGAAAGAAAATGAGGTAATTATTTAGAAAAGGCCGGGTCTCACCGATTTCGATGATTTTTGAATATGTTGTAGAAATCAACATTTTGAGCAACTTTTTCCTATACATATAACCGCCGCTCGGCCTTAGTTTCCGAGATTTTAATTCAAAAAGATCGCTACTACTACAATGAATTCTGTCTATATGTATGTACATATCTGTGGCTCTGTATTGCATCAGTCCACGATCGTTGCTTTTTTCTCTTGTTTGTATTAGTCGGCATAACAACCGACGACAAATAATGTATAATGTGTCGAGCTAAATCTAGTTCTGCATTGTTGTCAAAGGTTCGAATTTTCTGAAGTATGGAACTCGCCAAATACATTATGTAGGCTATTTAGGTGAATTCTTCTTCCGTCGACAATATCATGCTAATGATCTAATAATTAAATTTGTCGAAATAATGGCTGAAATCTTTCCCACTTCTGATAATATCAATAAAGAAAATTGAATTAGAAAATGAATGCGTGGCCGCCGTTTGGCGGCCGGCTACACAAATCGAGTTTTTAAGCACAGCTGTTATACGCATTCATTGCCGGCCGCCTCGATGTATCTATAGAAACAATAAACAATCGGCGAGTCGTATACATACTGCAGATTTTTTGTCAACAATCGGCGAGTCGTATATATATAACAGGCACGTAAGTGTAGATAGAATTCATTGTAGTAACAGCGATATTTGTGATATTATATGGTACAACTTTGGAACCAAGTAAGGCATTGTGTTGAAATTTGGTTTATATGTATTTATGGACATTGAAGAACACATATTTACAATACAAAATAAAAATTTATTTCTCATAATTTTCTATGGTATGGTAAATTCTGAAACAATTCCCAATATACATAGCAGGTTGATTTATACATGTTTCACAATAAAATGTTGTTTGACGTCTTTCTCCTGGTGTTTTCCTGTCGGAACAAATAATGCAGCCCCGGTTTCTTTGGCCTACATTTGGAATATGTAGCTTATTATTCATTCTATTGTCCGACAAAGAACGTTAATTTATTTAGATTATAACGAAGATAGCAATAGGAATGGTTCGACTTTGAATGAAGTTTCGATTTTACGTTTATAGTTTTTTACGTTTACGTTTTATGTTCTTTATGTTAAATAATTTTAGTAAACATTAAATAATATAGTTTATATAGTTACGTTTATTGTCCACGTGTTTGAATCCGACCATACGCCTCTGACCATCCTCGACAATCCTTCCACTTCCAACGTAAAAACGGCTGATATATTTCTCATTTTAATAGAATATTTCCCATTTTAATAGGAAAGTACAGGAAAACATGTGTTTCTTAAAAAATTGCGGTGAAATCAGTTCATTCTCCTTAATCACTAATAAACTTTCATGTTCCCTCAGAGGGGACGACCGAGTGCAAAGGGTTAAAATATGTTCATAAAATATTATCGTTTTAAAACGTGTATTTCCGTAAAAACAAATTTTTGTAATTTTTTCTTCATTATGGTATATTGCTTATACATTGTATATGACTACACAGGTCGGAAAGTCAAAAATGCCTAGGCAGTCGAGAATCTCGGCTCGAGAATATGCGAGATCGAATTTCAGCTGTGTTGAGAGCAAGAAGGATAGACTGACATTCGCCGCCTTTCTCGAATCTACGAAGCTATACGAAACGCCAGAACTCATATACAAGGTGGTTGGCATTAGTGTGTGTGAGTGGTGGGGCAGTTCCCTTTCGGCACGGGTCTGCCGTCTGATAATACTCCACTGTCTTTTCCAATCCCTCCCATAATCAACTCACATGTATTTACGTACACACTCAGCTGGCTGCCCATCAATACTAATTCAGTGCCTAGTTTCTCAACTAACCGCCATCCATGAGAAGAGGCCGCTAAAATCAGCTCCGAATTTTCAGGTCGGTATGACAGTCAGATTCGGCCGCGAAAGTCCATAAGGTGAAACGTCTATTCATATATCTCGTCTGTGTTCATATATCTCGTCTGTGTTACCGTCCAGAATCTTCTTTTCCGAGGCGCTCCGGTAAAATGATCGTATCTACAAAAAAGTTGAGTATTGATGCTTATAAAAAATACTACGTACTCTTACGATGTAGTTAAATATACGCATAACGTTTCAGATAAATAGATCCAATGGTTTCTCTTTTCAAAATTCCCAGGTGTTACATTATCTTTTGGTGTTTAATATCAGATCCCTTTGCTTAGAATAATTTCGTTTCTACCGTCTTTGTAAGATGGCGCTAGGATCGCGGAAATGTGTCGCCATCTGCGGACAAAAGTCGCAGTACGCTGCAAGATAAGCGAAGAGGATCTCCGGCGCCCCCTGTGGTCGGAAATTTTACCGAGCTTCACTCGGCGACGAGTCGGTGTTCAGTTGAGTTTAATACGCAGTCGAAGGAGGTTAGTTGAAGTGAGCACGGGATGCGAATGGTGGCTGGGCAATGAGTCGCGCGACGTTCGTTAGATAGAATGTGAACAGTGATAAATCGGCGTAATGTGGTGCATAATCGAACTGTAATCGAGCTTGCGAAACACACGCGGTAATGTGAGCTGTAAAAAGTAAAAGGCGACAAAGTGCAGTGACTCGACGTTTGATTGGTGGTGCACGCAGAGCGGCCCTTCGCGCATACATACATGTACGTATTATTCATGCTGGTATACAAAAGGCTCACACGACGAATCTTTCTCTCTCTCTCTCTGTCTCAATTTCCTCTCTTCCACTCTAACGTTCCTTCTGCATTCTTGCAGTAGCTTGCACGTAGTTGCACCTTTTTTTTTTCTTTGTTTTACTCGAGATTTACGACCGCGCCCCCATCACTTCGTACACGATGCGTTGTACGGTTTTTCAATTTGTTAAGAACGACAATCTATGCAAGGTGGGCTTGTCGATCGCACGGTATGTCAGATTTGCAGAATCTTCTTTAGCGCTGACAGAGAAGGTGCAGAAGGTGCGAAGAGAGACAAAGAGAAAAAGACAGCAAACTCTTGCGGGGCGGTGTATCGCTGAAAATATGAATTAACAAGTCGAACGTACGGCGAGACGTGGAATTTCTATGATTCCCCCTTCTATTGCTTGCGAAACATTCGATTAATTCTATTCACTAACATTCGCTGGATCGAAGGCGGCTCTCTTTGTTTACTTTCGCCGTGTCGCGACCGAACGATACGCGTGTGTGCACGCGGTGTATTATCTATGATATAATTTTACGGTGTTTATAACACCAAAACAGATTTATAGATTTGCTCTTTACTGTGGGCGTTTTGGGTTACGAGAAATATTTGCGTGCATCGGGAAATTTCTGAATCGTTTTATCTGTCAGCTGATGGCGAGTCAGCCATGCCATGCAGCGATGGACGATAATTCGAAAAATATTAATCGATGTCAACGATATTTTTATACTCGAGTAGATATAAATAATATGGAATAAAATACCAAATATAAATAATTAGTTTGTGGAAAGAGTTTTATACAGGGTGTTCGGCCACCCCGGGAGATTCTAGAGGCCAAAATAAGACGAAAATCAAGAATAAAAATTTCTTGAGGCATCATTAAAAAGTTATCAAAAAATTTCAAATCATACCAAAAAAAAATTATATTTAGTTACAGGGGTCAATTTCAAGCATTTTTGCCGAATAGGCATACCCTCGAAATCCTACGCACTTTTGAGAAAAAAATTCTTGAAAGTGTGAAATTTTTCGACAAAATTCAAAAATTTCAAATTGTTCTGGAATAATTATTTTCGGTTGCGGGGGTCAGTTACAATAATTTCTGGTTAATAGACCTACCCCCGAAATCCTACCCGATTTCTAGAAAAAAATTCAGTACGGGCGGAAGTTTAAACGTTAATAACTTTTTAACGAAGCCTCCATCAACAAATTAATATTCTCGATTTTCGTCTTATTTTGGCCTCCAGGATCCGCCATTAAAATTTTTCCCAGGGGTGGCTGTACACCCTGTATAATTGGCATTTCCATAATACATGGCGGATATATTAATTACGATGAGAACATTCGCACTCCGCGTTTTCAAATATTCCTATTCTTGCTAGTGAACTTTTTAAACTATAATGATTTCATCCTATTCTTGTACATCTTGTTATCACTTCTCTAGGAAGTGATTCATCCGATCTTGATACATTATACTTTTCATAATAAGATTCCCCTCTACTATTGGACTCTTGTGAATCCATACACTAGGCTGAAAGGTTTCCTTCGAGTTTGTAAAAGGAATTTTAAAATGATCCTTATACTCCATGTTGCTTTGTTAATTTATCAGCTGTTTTATTTCCTTTAGTTCCCAGACGAATACATTGATTAATTTTGCTCCTAATGTCTGAAATATGCAGATTAGTTATTACTGATGCGTTTAGTTATGTAACACTTTGAATGGCAGTTAATGTTCGTTGAGATTGAACAGGAATTATCAGATTCTTCTAATGCTATATCCACTGCCTTCGTTATTGCAATACATTCTGCTGTATAGACTGATGAATACTTGCGAACGATTAAAATTTTCTTCCTTCTGCTTACTGTTTTGGTTAAGGCTATTAAGGTTAAAGACAAATTTGGTGTAGTATTACATTTCCATTGTTCAAAGACTGCTTTCCTTAATCTAACTGTCCTACTGTATTTCATGTCCCACTATTCAGCCAGGTTTCTGTGAAACTCATTTCCATTTCTTATCTTTGCAAATGTACTGTTTTTAAATGCTTCTTTCATTTTCTTCGCAAATATGTTATATTTCTCCGCAATTATCAAGTTGTCATACTGTAAAAAGTGGCTCTACTGATTATCAGACAAGCTTTGATAGTTTTAAAAGTCTGTCCTTTTAGTTTACTGTCTATTGGATTTTTTCTTATAAATGTATCTATTCGTATGTACTGTTGGGAAGTGAACTGATCCTAGAGGTTCCTTATATTAGGACACAGTAGCAATACTATTAATTTTAACTGATATTAGATCTATGTTGTCATATACATATTATGTTTTTGCTTGATTGAACACACTGTTGTACATGAGATTATCTTAGTTTTATTAAAATATAAAAACGAGAAGACAAAAGGAACAAACTCTGCTATAACTGTAACCGGAAAACGAACCCCACACACACCGCTCGCCACGCCATCCCGCGGACACATTTCCAACACCATATGTTTCACCTCTAGCATGTAAATATGGGTTATTATAATTAACTATGTTTCGCTAATTTCTATCTATCAAATCATACAACTTTTCTCCAATTGCATCTGAATAGACATAATTCGAAGTCACATGATGTACATTTATATCAACTAGTATTAAGTAGCAACCCAATTGTCTACATTGTTAGAGCAATCAATTTAAATTCATCAATTAGTTGTTTCTTCTATAGAACACAACCAAAAAGATTTTTTGTTCTATATTGCAGATTTGAATAATGCAAGTGTCTGTTATTTTAACTTTTAAATGTTTTGTTACAAAGAACACGATTCCTCCACCTCTTTTATTATTCTTATCTTTCCTGATTGAATCAAGTCTCGTTAATTCAATTTTATCATGTAGTCTTGAACATGTTTCGATGCAAACAATGTCTGCTTCACTTGCAAATTGTTCTATTTCTCCTTTCTTCTTCTACAATTCCGTAATATCATAGCCATAGTTTTGACTTTTAGCTTGTCCTTATTTTTTACATAATTGTGATCTTTTCGAATCTCTCAGTTTATTGTATTCTCTGGCCAATCTGCCTTTATCCACTCTATTATATTTTAGAATATGGCTTAGTCTATACAATATTAGTCCCTTTTTCAACTAGTTTTTCTCCTCTAATCTTCTTTAACTTCGGTTCTTCCTTGGTACTTACGTCCTTCATTGCTGAGACAAGTTTTCTTTCGTTACTATAATTACCTTCTCATCTGCCGCTTTATTTGCTATATTTAGTTCTTTTTAGATACTTTAGTAGCTTCATAGAGACTTAGATTATTGTATGCTCTGTATAATTGATGTATAAAGATACAATCTTTGCTGAAGGTAATACATCCTTCTTTGCAATGAAAATATATAGACAGGTTCTTCTTCTTGCTGATATGTTGTTAACGTCATCTCTGTACAATAGCCTCTATCTTCGAATTAACCAGATCATTTTTAATTAGGAAGGGATTTGCTTCCTCTTTATCTTTAAATAGAATTTCAACTTTGTTATATCTTCAGCGTCCCAAATCAAATGCATTACATTCCTGTTGAGCTACATCTCTTGCTATTTCGAGAAGATTATGTTTTCTTGCGCTTCTTGTAGCATTTATTTTTAGTTTCACCTCCATCGATGCACTGCCCTTATGGCATTCTGTACTTCTTTTATATTTTCTCTCATTTCTTTAATATCATTTATTAATGTCTTCTTAGCAATCTCATCGTCTCCTTTCCTTTTGAAATTTTTATCTCTCTAATAGTCAATTGTTCTTTTTCTTCTTCTTCCTTCGTTACTGGATATTTCCTAACTATGTTGTAACTCCTATCGGGACCATGTCTCATTCTTAGGTTATTTCTTAATCTCTTTCGTTTGAAATGTTACTTTCACACTCTTTTATGCCAATCTGTAAAAAGTCTCGCGAATCGTAATCTCAAAATCCAAAATCTTCGACTTCAAAAAATAACCTACAGATTACCAAAAAAAGGTTTCATTAAAAAAATTGAATTAAAAAATTTCAAATCATTCTGAAAAAATTATTTTTGGTTGCAAGGGTCAATTACAATCATTTTTGGTGAATACACATACCCCTGAAATCCTACCTCTTTTCGAGAAAAAAATTCGAGTAAGTACTGAAATTTTTAAATATAATTAAAAAATTTCAAATCATACTAAAAAATTATATTTAGTTATTGGGGTCAATTACAAGCATTTTTGGTGAATATACATACCCTCGAAATCCTACGCACTTTCGAGAAAAAAATTCTTTTCCGAAAATTTAATGTGAGGCCAGAAATACTTCCTTGAAATTTCATGCGAATCTTTAAAATGTCATAACTTCTGCACGGATTGGGAAATTTCAATGTTTCAAAGGC